ATGGCAATAAGACCATTGGGCAGTGTTGAAACACATGGCAATAAGACCATTGGGCAGTGTTGAAACACATGGCAATAAGACCATTGGGCAGTGTTGAAACACATGGCAATAAGACCATTGGGCAGTGTTGAAACACATGGCAATAAGACCATTGGGCAGTGTTGAAACACATGGCAATAAGACCATTGGGCAGTGTTGAAACACATGGCAATAAGACCATTGGGCAGTGTTGAAACACATGGCAATAAGACCATTGGGCAGTGTTGAAACACATGGCAATAAGACCATTGGGCAGTGTTGAAACACATGGCAATAAGACCATTGGGCAGTGTTGAAACAAATGGCAATAAGACCATTGGGCAGTGTTGAAACAAATGGCAATAAGACCATTGGGCAGTGTTGAAACAAATGGCAATAAGACCATTGAGCAGTGTTGAAACAAATGGCAATAAGACCATTGGGCAGTGTTGAAACAAATGGCAATAAGACCATTGGGCAGTGTTGAAACAAATGGCAATAAGACCATTGAGCAGTGTTGAAACACCGCACATGATAAAAGTACAGAAGAACGGTTATTGTTAAGACTTTTTGAGACTTTACAAATTTGACATATGCAGTAACAATAATGATCACAACCAGACCAGTAGGGCATGTTCAGAGAATCCCCTTTCCCACCAATGACCCTTAACGTCACCTACAATCTCTCTTCCACCTTATAATCCACGTCCCACAATCACTATCCCACCCACCTATAATCCTTATTCTCACTTATAATCTGCCTCCCACCTATAATTCCTATTCTCCCATATAATCTCCCTCCCACCTATAAACCCTATTGTCCCATATAATCTCCCACCCACCTATAATCCTGCCTCAGCTACACTCTCCTTTCTCGCCTATAATCTCGCCTGCAACCCAATCTGATCCCTGCCATGTAATCACAAACAGTAAACAGAGAACGTCTCGGATCGCAGCTCCAAGCCGCAAACAAACCCGTTCTGTAAATTTATCCGCTGGTTGTCTTCCATAATCTCAAATCCAAACTGTTCAGACAAACGAACTCGAGGTGAAGATTCGGCCTCGAGATTAAGCCGGGTTCCTTGAAGTTTAATCTTTATTTTCGATGTTTAAATTGTAATAAGTTGCCAAACCCTTAAAATAAATTCTCTCGCGAGACAGAGATTGTTGCTGGAAGACAACAGCTTCATGGATGATTGTTTTTTTTTTTAAACACTGGCTTTGACTGGATTAAGTGAATCCTCCATCTTTCAAATAAGAGAGCTGTGACATCTAAGCTCTAATATGAAAACTTTAAAATGTAAAGGTTGATGAAAGGACTCTGAAGTACGGTATGAATAGTTGATTATAGCTCTGGAGGTGGAACAAAAAAATTCCACACTATAGCAATGCCCAGTCTTGAGAATATGACGCCAATAATATTTGCCAAGAGCGCATTTCAAGACTTTTTTAAAATTGCATTTCAGATGAATTTTACAAGTGCGATCAAAAGTTGGGATTATCCCAGTGGCATATCAGGAGTTTTGTGTCTGTGTGTATGTTCTTTTTTTTTTTTTGTTGTTGTTGTTTTTTTGGGGGGGGGGGCGGTGTTTGGGGTCAGAGCCAAAAATAAGGATTTTGGGGGGGGAGCTCCGGGAAAGAAAGCCAAGGTTCTTGCGGCCCCCACCACTACAGAAATTAAAATTATTATTGTAATGTCCCTGAGGTTGTAATGTCCCTGAGGTTGTAATGTCCCTGAGGTTGTAATGTCCCTGAGGTTGTAATGTCCCTGAGGTTGTAATGTCCCTGAGGTTGTAATGTCCCTGAGGTTGTAATGTCCCTGAGGTTGTAATGTCTCTGAGGTTGTAATGTCCCTGAGGTTGTAATGTCCCTGAGGTTGTACTGTTCCTGAGGTTGTAATGTCCCTGAGATTGTAATGTCTCTGAGGTTGTAATGTCCCTGAGGTTGTAATGTCTCTGAGGTTGTAATGTCCCTGAGGTTGTAATGTCCCTGAGGTTGTAATGTCCCTGAGGATGTAATGTCCCTGAGGTTGTAATGTCCCTGATGTTGTAATGTCCCTGAGGTTGTAATGTCCCTGAGGTTGTAATGTCCCTGAGATTGTAATGTCCCTGAGGTTGTAATGTCCCTGAGGTTGTAATGTCCCTGAGGTTGTAATGTCTCTGAGGTTGTAATGTCCCTGAGGTTGCGTTCAAGCTGAAACTGGGCACATAGACTCGTTGACGATGACACATTTTTTTTCACCCACACTCCTTAAACCCCCCCCCCAACCTCGCGCACGGCCCCTCCCCCCTCCCCAATCATCAGTATTCCTGTTTTTGTCAAGGGGAGGATGAAGTAAACTTGGTGCCACCGAGTTCACGAAATAAAATTTCCGATGGCTGCGCTAAATTAAACGAGATCTTTGTTTAAAATACTGCAAGCGCGTTTGGTGCGTACTATTTTCTTTTGTTTTTTCTGAAATAATTTGAAAAATAAATCTGCGGTGTTAAAGTGAATGGGTCATTAGAATATTAATATTTAAGTTGGGGGTGAAAAGCATTGCGGTGGCGAGCCATTGGGGGGGGGGGAGGAGCACTAATTGGGATTCATATACAATGCGTTACTTTTATAAATAGTTTTTAAAATTTCCAGCCATATTGCTCAATATTACATTTTATAAAGGATTAATACGAACAACATTGTTTTTAAGAGTTGTTTAATTCCCCCTTATCTTATGATTTAAAAAAAAAAATAAAATATTTAATTCAGTAAACAAGACAAAAAATAAAACAATAAAAATTAAATGACGTCGATTTGAAAACTGAACCGCTCTCTCGCAAGTTGTTGGCCCTATTTTATATTCAGTGGTCGTCCATTAATTATGTTAACAGTTTTTAAGCAGTTTTTGACCCCCTTCCCCCTTTGCAGTGCCGTTTTAAGGAATGGGCCCAGTGGGCACTGACCCAGGGCCCCGCGCTTGTAGGGGGCCCCACGTTTCTAGGAGACTCACTCTTATATGGAGGCATCATGCTTTACGTATTTTTTTTTATGAATATTGAAATATTTTGACAATTTATTTGGATTTAAATTTCCAATTTCCCAATTTTAATTTAGGATATATTATTATATCAGCACATTCCAAAATTAATATTATAAATGCGAATCAAAGTTGGACAGTTTTAAAACTTTTAAAGGGAGATAACTCTCAACAACAAATTTTACTTTGCCCAGATTTGAATGGAAAAAAGAAAATGGTAAGAATCAACAGCCGATCTTGAAAGGAAAATAAAGGCGATGGAGATGAGATGCTTCAGAAGCATTTTGGGCATCTGCTATAGGGACCATATCTCCAATGATACAGTGAAAGAAAGGGTTCGTCAGGCAATTGGGGAGTACGATGACCTACTGATGACTGTGAAAAAACGCAAATTACAATGGTACGGCCACGTAACAAGGAAACAAGGGCTTGCCAAAGAAATATTGCAGGGCACCACAAGAGGAGGGAGAAGAAGAGGAAGACAAAGAAAAAGGTGGGAGGATAACATCAAAGAGTGGACAGGACTAACACTGGGCGATGCAGTGGGTAGTGCTGAAGACAGAGAGGAATGGAGGAGGATGGTTCACATGTCATCTGTGGCGCCCCAACGGTCCAAGGACTAAGGGACATGATGATGAGGATGAAGAATCAACTTCGCAGTATAATGGGACAAAAAGGTTTGAACTGGCTTTCACTATTGTGCATTAACTTTAAACAATAATAAAACAACTCTCTGCAAAAAAATTACGCAAAGGATTATGCTGGTTTATATTAACTAATTTATTCTATCTATCTATCACAGTATTTCCACAATCACGTTTGCTGGCATTGGTCGAATCCTTTTTTTGTTGAAGAGCAGGTGCTAATTTCGTATGCTTAAGAAGAAGGTATTGTCGGTTCAGTTGAACATGCTTTTTCAACATGACTTGTGATGCAAAAATTGATGTTATAGATTTTGCAAATCCGTTCAAGCAGCGATGTTATTTTTGTTACTCACTTTACATTCACCTAATTCTAAAAATATCGTATTCCTATTCTATCAATATCATTTATCTTGACTGCACATGACACTTGAACCTTGTTCCATACCTGCAAAAGAATCTACAGGTGAAGAGAGGCCAAATTTTGACTTCTCTTGCACTAACAAAGCATGCTAACATTCTGACCAGCCATCTGCAGTGCATAGACACACGTTACATACATTTTATAGTGTTAAACACCTAAAAATTATATGACCCTTTACACTCATTTACATTTATTAATTTTTTAAAATAATCAAATAACCAGTCAATTTTTAAGATTAAAATTTTAATAGAAAAATCATGATTGTTGACGTCAACTAACCTAAACCTCACTCTCTTCCCCCTTGTCAACAACGGTCAAACATTTCCAAACCCCCTCCCCCCCCTTCCCCTCTTTGGTTGACGTAATTAATGGACCCCCCCTTAGAGCAAACTGTCTATAAAAATTAATTGAACGAACACGTCAAGGTCCTAATAAATACCCTCTTTATTCCTTTTTAACATTGTCGATTTTTTGTATTGTGTTTTATTTCGTTAAAAAAATATGTTTAAATTTTGATAAGAAGAGACACCAGAACTTATTTTAAACCACGAGACACGAGAACCACCCCCTCCCCCCCTTTTTTTTTTTCCCCCCACACACACACTTTCAATTTTTATTTTATTTATTCATTTACACTATCTTGTCTGTCTAAAATAATGAACTATATCTCACTTTATTTATTTGTCAGAATGACACTAAACTCCCACCGCCATCCACGACTGGTCGGCCAATCAGATGACGCGGTGAGACGCGCGCGCCTGCAATCTTTTACTATAGGGTTTATTTTTAGAAGAAAAAAAAACACAAGGTATCCCAAATGTATTCTTCGTGTGTGTCACACCTGTGTCACCGAGCGTGTTTTCAATGTCACAGGAGCGTGCTGTGACCTGAAATGTTAAGCACTTCCTGTAGTATCAGTGCATGTTATTGAATGGAATATGTAATTCTAAGTTTTGTTTAACCGTAAAGCCGTAAACTGAAAGATCCCATCGAACAATTAAGGCTAAGGTACTGACCATTGGCGTATTTATTTATTAATTTCTTAAAGAACAAAATGAACGCTAATACTAATAACTACTAATAAGTGATGTGCTTAACTTTGAACTGGAAGGTAACTCAGGTAAGTCAGATACTACACTTGACTTAGAATATACTTGATATAGTAAGAAGCAGCCACCATTGGCCATTGCCTTTAACATGAATAATTTTCATTTTAAAGTCTTAATTTTCCTTTGACTAAATTTTGAATTATTTGTATTAAATTAATTTATGAATAATCATCATTAGTGTAACTGCAAAAAAAAAAAAAACAACATTTTTCCCCTTGCACTCACCATCTCTTTAATTTACACAATTTTAAATAGAACAAGGTATGCTTTTATGTATCATTGTATGGTGAAGTGGAAGCTTGAAACATAAAGTAAGAAGTGGCACTAAAAGAAGAACTTTTCAGCTAAGACTAAGAGTCTTCCACAGCTGGCAGAACAAAGGTAGAGTTAACAAGAAATAGAAATCATTTTAAAAAAAAACTTAAATTGTTCGCCATATTCATGTTATTGTTGGAACTTATACACAAATTTAAATTTTACTTTCTTACAATCTCCCACTCTTCATAAATACATGTTTAGCTACACTCTCCCACTCTTTTAATATTTCCACTGCCTTCAATATCTCAATCTTAACACACCAATTTTACCAACTTGCACTCTCCCACTCTTTATACACATTTTACCTTCATACATTCTCCCAGTCTTCACACAATTCTACTGCCTTCACTATCTCACTCTCAACACATATTTTAGTAACTTTTACTCCAACTCTTCACCCAATTTTAACCACTTAACTCTCACACTCTTTACACAATTATAACCAATTTGCACTCTTCCACTACCTCTCTTTATGCAATTTTACACTCCAATTTACTAAAATTAACTGTTTAAACTATCCTATATGCACAATTTTACTACATTCACTATCCCACTCTTTACAAACGTTTACTATTTACACTTCCAATCTTTACCCAATTTTAGCAAAGAACATTCTCCCACCCTTTACACAATTTTACCAACTTACACTTCACTTTACACAATTTTACCAACTTACACTCTCCCACTGCCTCCCTTTATAAAATTGTACACTCTTATACTTCACTTTACACAATCTTACTGCTTAAGCTCTCCAACTCTTTACTCAAAATTTACTTATTTGCACTCTCCTACTCCCACTCATTATACAATGTTACTATTTACACTTCCCCTGTCAAATGCACATTTTTTCAGACACTTTACCAACTTTTACTCACCGACTCTTTACACAATTTTTCTATCTACTTTCACTCCCCCACTGAAGTATTTTTACTCTCCCGTATTCTCTCTTAATCTCACTATTAGTCACTATTTATGTCGAAATGGTTCTGTGTTCTTTTTGACTATTTTGAGAATCAATTTGGTCGGTAAAAATAAATATTAATGGTTTAATAATTATTTTATTTGTGACCGGAATAAAGGACATCATTTCTTGGGTCTTGTGAAACTATTGTATAAGTAGTTCTTAATTTTTTGTTTGTTGTTGTTACCAGTTCTGATTTATAATATTGATTACATTCCTCGTTATTTAAACAAAATTCATCTAAATAATTGAACAGTGCTCTAGCCATCAAATGATTTAAAAAAATGAACCAGAACTTTCATTTGACTGAAGCGAATCTCTAGTGAAATATGAACTATACAAAGGAAAAACCTCACTCACTGACGCAAATCCCCATCTAGTCATATCATTAAATATATCTTAGGCAGTCTTAGGCCCTTTCATGTCATATGCAACATATTATGTTGAAAAATAATGTTTTTTTAAAAATTTATTCCCTTGAAATTTATAATGTTATTAATTAGTTGATTGAACGTCAATTTTAGGCTCTTGTGAGAGTGCTTCTCTGGTCTAATGACCCACCCCCCCAACCCTTTTTTCCTCCCCCCCCAACCCTTTTTTCCCTTCCCCATTTGTTTCTTCTCTTCTCTTTTGAAGAGACTATTATATTATAATGAATCTGCTATATTTTATAAAGTATAGAACGAGTCAACGGAGAGTTTATAATGTTCGTATAACGAAATAGTATAGTAGGCCTATTTCTTATTCCATATAATTTACAATATACTCGAAAGTCTTACATGGCGATTGTTTATTAAAAAAAAAACAAAGAAAAAAGATTGCTCCACCTTTCGTCCGTTTTGCCATCATTTTAAGAGTCATGCGCATTATCCCAAAGTTCTGCCGGAAATGCACATTCAGTGACATTCTTATTTGTATTTATCTCCGTCGAAATATTTGGGGTGGCGCCGGGGCGAGCTTCACATGGGAGATAATCTGTGATTAGCTTGAAGTGAAAGGCCACGGTGTTTGCTGAAGGTCACGGGGTATCTCGCCCCGTGGACACCAACACTATTTATGCTTTGCTATCTCCGTCCCGATAGTGGCGTTATTTACACCACTGGGTCATGATGTCGTCATGGCGACGACCTGTAGCTGATAAAAGGGACAGCATCCCCGTTGCTAACTTTCGTTTTCATAAAATTATTTTGGGCAAAAGTTAATTCTTGTTCCCCCTCAATCTCTCTCGGTTTCTATTCTTTGCCAGGCGTTTAAAAAATTATGGCTTATAATATATAATGATCACACGATCAATGATAAATTGTAATTAACTTGAACTTGAAAAAGACTTGAAAATATGTTTATACATTTCTTATTCACTTAACTTAACGGGCAAGTTTACTGGTACCTTTTACATATGAACTATTTATGGTAGACTATGGTGAAAATCATTGCCTAAGTGAAATGGTGCATGATTATATGTTAGACAACTAGTGCGGTATAATCCTTAGTGTATACTTGTATATCTGAGTTTGAGTGTTGATGTGTACTCATCTGACACCTTCTGCCCCCCCCCCTTTTCGCCCACCCCACACTGACCCGAATATTACATAAACAACATTCATTAGTCTGTGGTGCTTAATGTAAAAAATGTACCACAGTGGACAACCCCCCTCCCCCACCATCCTAAACCTAAATTGTTGGACAGACACTGATCCAACACATGAATTTTAAATGCAATGTACGATACTGTAGCAACATATCATGGACAATAACAATTTATTATAAAAGATATCTTTTAAAAACATTAACACAATTTATAACACATTTTCGACATTCTTTATTACAGATCAGATTCTACTACCGATGATAGCACCACATCTCATCATGTTGTCCAACCCATGGTAGCACCACAAACGGTCAGGGTTTACAACCTACTATTGCACCACAAATGTCAAGTCAACTTCTATCCTCGCCCAGTTCCAACGGCCCATCCCGAGCTGTTCTAACATGCGTTTCCTAGGCAACATGAAGTTCCGTCACCGGCTGGTAGCAGTGGTCGTGTTGATGGTAATGTTACTGGGGATCTATATGAACTTCCCCCAAGAGATGTCGCAAGTGGAGCTACTGCAACAGCATCGGAGGATGCTACAGGCACGGAACTTCAGCACCTTTTGGAAGGTGAGTTTTTTTAGTAAAACTTAATGGCGGTAAGTTGAGGGGGGGGGGGAGGGGGGGGCCTAACCACAATTTTCCGTTGGTTTAATTTTAGTTATCAGTTTTACAGGCACGGAACTTCAGCACCTTTTGGAAGGTGAGTTTTTTTAGTAAAACTTAATGGCGGTAAGTTGAGGGGGGGGGGGAGGGGGGAGCCTAACCACAATTTTCCGTTGGTTTAATTTTAGTTATCAGTTACCATACATTGATCTCCAATAGTTACGGTGTATCAACTTCCCTGTTATTTTGGTTTGTTGCAGCATAAAGACGGCGATGACTCTGAGGTTTGCCAACTGAATGGGAAGCCGAGCCACTCCAACATTTCCACCTACGATCTCTTCTTCAATACCCAGTTTAATTTATTGTCAAGTGGGGACTGGGAGATGCCAGTTCCAGCGGAGGCATTTCGTGAGTAATACATGGATAATGTATGGGATATCATGAGTAAAACATGGATAATGTGTGGGATTTCATGAGTAAAACATGGATAATGTGTGGGATATCATGAGTAATACATGGATAATGTGTGGGATATTGTGAATAACACATGGATAATGTGTGGGATATCGTAATACATGGGTAATGTGTGGGATATTGTAATATATGGATAATATGTGGGATATCATAATACATGGATAATGTGTGGATATCATGAGTAATACATGGATAATGTGTGGGATATCATGAGTAATACATGGATAATCTTAAAGATAATAGGTTGTTACTTGATATATGGTACAAACATGTCAAAATAATTGTCCAAGAACTTCGACGTTATTCATACCGCACAATTATTTGACAAATATTCAATGTATGGACTAATTGCGATAGACTTATTTTTTTTATTAACAACGAAAAACTCAAACTAGGATTTTCAAGACTGGGAAAAAATATGTACGATGAATGAACAAAACAAATTACCATTTATTTGGATTAATAAAAGTATCTTATCTTATCTTGTGCGACATATCTACTCACCTGTCCAGTTTTTGTCCGCAGACAAAGCTACCCGCCTGCCAAGACTGAATGTGGTCCTTGTTCCGCATTCGCACAATGACCCAGGCTGGCTGAAGACAGTCAATGAGTACTTCTCGGACCAGACACGTCACATCTTGAATAACATGGTCAACAAGCTGACCCAGTACCCCAAGATGACCTTCATATGGACAGAGACGGTTTACTTCTCAATGTGGTGGAACGAGTTGGATGATGCTGTGAAGGTTTGTATGTCACATGTTTGTGTGTCTCATATGAGCATGTCACAAGTTTGTATGCCATCAAAGGGTAGTAATACAACAAGTGGCTGAAAGCCTGCATCCGTGGGAAAAAACCCACAATGTAAGAGTAAAAAAAATGACAAGCTGAAGTGTCAAAATATAGAACCCGTAGGAAGCAGGCATTCTAGCCTAGATCTTCCTAGAAACAAAGAGAAGCAGACATTCTAGCCTAGATATTCCTAGGACCCATAGGAAGCAGACATTCTACCCTAAGTCTTCCTTTGACTGATTCTCCAATGTGTAACCTTTTACAGTAACCATTTACAGTAACCGTTTACAGTAACCATTTACAGTAACCATTTACAGTAACCGTTCTATGATTCTAAAATTTTACTGATTTTACTTTTCATAGGTACATGTTCGACGGTTGATTAGACGAGGCCAGCTGGAGATAACTCTAGGTGGCTGGGTCATGCCCGATGAAGCTAGTACACATTATGTGTCCATCATCGACCAACTTGTGGAAGGACACCAGTGGCTGTGGGAGAACCTGGGAATACGTCCAGAGAACAGCTGGTCCATCGACCCTTTCGGCTACTCGGGCACGATGCCTTACCTGTGGCAGAGCGCTGGTATGTCAAACATGGTCATTCAGCGTGTCCATCAGGCGGTGAAGTCAGCCCTGGCCCAAGAGAGAGCCCTCGAGTTCAACTGGAGGCAAATGTGGGATGACAGGGGCAGCACCGACATCTTCTGTCACGTCATGCCGTTCATGTTGTACAGCATCAAGTACACCTGCGGCCCGAACCCGTTCACGTGTCTCAGTTACGATTTCCGTCACATTCCTGGCGATTTCTCAGAGTCTCGGGCAAGGGAGCTAACCGATGAGAATTTGGCACAGAGTGCAGAAATCTTACATGACCAGTACCGCTCAAAATCACGCTTCTATCGCTACAGTACCATCCTGGTTCCTATTGGTGACGATTTCAGATATGACAAGGAGCTCGAGTGGGACCAGCAGTATGAAAATTATGAAAAGTTAATTCAGTTCATGAACTCTAAGCAAGAGTGGAATGTGAACGTTCAGTGGGGAACCCTGCAGGATTACTTCCAGCTGGTCAAGCAAGAGCACATCAACTGGAAGCTGACCAACAAGGAGGAGGAGTTCCCTGTTTTAAGTGGTGACTTTTTCCCGTACTCGGATCGTGATGCTGCCTACTGGACGGGGTACTATTCGACCCGGCCGTTCGATAAGTACTTCAGCCGGGATGTCCAGGCCACACTCCAAGCTGCAGACACCCTCAACACATTGAACTATGCCTATTACAAGAAGTGGGGCCTGCTGACGGACACAAAGTTCTTCCAGCATTCCTCTTTCCTCCAGACGGCGCGGAGAGCTTTGGGTCTCTTCATGCACCACGACGCCATCACGGGCACGGCCAAGGAATTTGTCGCCGAGGACTATGAGCATTATCTGCTCCGTGCCTACAACAACTCCCAGGAGGTCATCAAACTGACCATCCAGTCTCTGCTGTCCGGTGGTAAAGTGGAATCCCCGGTGGTGTTCAAACCTGAGGTGGTGAGGAGAGATCATGTCTCTCTACCGCACAAACAAGTCATCTCAGTGCAAGAGTCCGGGACCACGGTGGTTGTCTTTAACCCGCTCTCTCAGCCCCGACAGCAGATCGTCCACCTTCTGGTCAACTGTCAGATCCTGGAGGTGCTCTCCTACTCCCAGGAGGTCATCCCCAGTCAGATCAGCCCCGTGTGGAACCACGAAGAGGATGCCGTCATCCTGGATGATGTGTTCGAGCTGACCTTCGTGGTAGAGATCGGGCCACTCACGCTCACACCTTTCATTCTGTACAAGAGACACCATCCACACATTTCTTCCTACTCTTCGGCCGTCTCAGTTTTCAACACCCACCTGCTGGCCGCCTCCATCCTCCTCAACTTCAAACAAAACAAACCTGAACCCAAGAGAACCGAACCCATCGTGGTCAACAATAAGGTCATTCAACTGACCTTTGACCCCCAGACGGGGTCTTTACTTAATGTAATGGACATGGTGAGCCGAAACACGACAGAGCTCAATATACAATTTATGTTCTACAAGTCCAAAGGCAGCGGGGCCTATCTTTTTTTCCCCAATGGACCAGCAACCATTCTTTTCCCAAACATTCCAATTATTCGAGTTTCCGAAGGTCCTCTCATGACATATGTTGAAGTCTGCTTTGACCCATACATCACCCACCGAGTCACGATTTATCATCACCCGAGCCAACTTACGTCTGCAATTTTCATTGAAAACATTGTGAGCATTCAGACTTTAAAAGATAAAGAAATCATCATGCGGCTGCAGACGGACATCAAAAACCCAGACTTATCTTACTTCACTGACCAGAATGGCTTTCAGTTTATCCGGCGTCGCACCAACACCAATCAGATAACACAAGCCAATTATTACCCCATGACTTCCGGGATGATCCTGGAGGATCACACGACCCGACTGACAGTGCTGTCTGCTCAGTCCCATGGTGTAGCCTCCCTGGACACCGGTCAGATTGAAGTCATGTTAGACAGACAGCTCCTATACGATGACAACAGAGGGCTCGGGGAGGGAGTCAGGGACATCAAAACGACAGTCAGTCGTTACGTGCTCCTGGCCGAGAGACGATCGTCCCCGAGACATTTGTCTTCAAACTACGCCTCTCTCTCACTACCAGCCCTGACTATCCAAGATATGCTCCTCCAGCCGATGCTAACCTACTACACCACCATCGACTCAGACATATTCTTCCATAGTTTAAGTCCGCTGACCACTTCCCTCCCTTGTGACACCAGCGCCGTAAGCCTCCGAAGTCTCGTCACAGGGAACTTGAACTACAACGGCACCAGTGTCATACTACACAGACGGGGCTATGACTGCGATTTCCCTCATGCAAACCTCCTCTGTTCTCCCTCAGACTCCTCCGTCTCGTTTGATAAACTCTTCACTCAGTTCAGCTACACAAATCTCCGTGAGACAACGCTCACACACACAGTGGTCAAGCGGGCAGTGAATCCCGCGGAGAAACTCAAAATAGCTCCTATGGAACTGATGGCTTACCATTTACACTTTTAGATCACCTACATAGAGATAGATAGAGACAATTTTACATCAGTGATTCCCCATATTAATATAATAATGCCTGGAGGACATCAATTCCTCTTGGGGGCCCTGACACTACTGTTGGCCCAGACACCACTGTTGGCCCAGACACCACTGTTGGCCCAGACACCACTGTTGGCCCTGTAAGCCCCAACTCTGTGGGGGAGCTGCTGGTTACCTTAAGTACCAGTGCAAATATTTCCTTCAAGTGACAGACTTTGCACAGATAAACTAAACATGTGTCAGCCCACCTGTATGTTTTAATTCAAAGGTTGGATGACAGGGATCCCCATGAAACCACCGTGTAATGTGATTGTAACAAACCACTAGTGTACATGTTTGTAACAAACCACTAGTGCACGTGTTTGTAACAAACCACGTGTGCCTGTGATCGTAATCAAGCACTGATGTATGTGATTGTAATTGGGCACTGGTGCATGTAATCATACTCATACACTAGCAATAGTGTATGTGATTCGTAAGTGAGCAATAGTGTGAATTTAAGTTTAAGTAAAATTGTTTTGTCCTGTGTCTTTCCCACTTTTTTTCACTAACATAATAACACTCTCACATTCCCCGACTGTCATAAATTAATGAGCTCCAAATATTACATAAATTAATGAGCTCCTTATGTCATAAATTAATGAGCTCCAAATATTACATAAATTAACGAGTTCCCCATATGTCATAAATTAATGAGTTCCCCTTATGTCATAAATTAATGAGCTCCAAATATTACATAACTTAATGAGTTCCCCATTTCATAAATTAATGAACTCCCCGTGTCATAAATCAATAAACCCACCCCCCCCCCCCCCCCTCCTTCATAAATTAATTTGTTCCCCATTTGTCATAAATGAATGAACTCCTCATGTGTAAATACTTGGATTAATATTAACTCACCCTAGAACAATTCAGAAAATGTGCATGCCCTGAGTGAATTAAAATATTTTGTTGTTGTTGAAATATCTGTAAGCCACTGGTAGATCTGAGGATGTCCAAAATGTCAAATGACCCCCATGTGATGTACAAACTTTCTCCTTTTGTTGTAAAAATTCTCCCCAAATGTGCTGACCATTGTTTGTTTTTTTCAGGCATCCCTCAGTGGTCAAGGCACAATGCCCTGCCCAAAGCAACTAAATTGTCATTTTTATAACATTTTTACAAAAAGAGTGGTAAATGGTACTGATTCAAATAGTGCAACCAAAGAGATATCCCTAGGCTCGATTATATTTTATGATCAGAATATTTAACACAAATCTGGCTACAGCCTTCTATTCTCATTGCTTTATAATGCCGAAAATTGGCTAACGTGATTATATGCTGCATCCTTACTTACCATCGCTATTATATACAGTTACAAAAAAATTAATTTGTAGGCTGCCCCCCCAAATTTTCTTAATTTTTTTACAAAAATCAAAATTTTCTTTCAGGGTGCATAATAATAGTGGATATTTTATCAAATATTATTAAATCAGAGTTTTAAAAAAATTATTTTCTTTAAATTGGTTGCATGGTTTGCTGTTAGCAGTTAGGGGTTTTATATGATAATGTATGTGAAAAGTTATAAATGATAATGTATGTGAACAGTTTTAAATGATAAAGTATGTGAAAAATTTTAAAAGATAAGGTATATGAATTTCCTTATTGCTTTTGTCTCCTTAATCGTATCTGATCAATTTATCGTCGAGAAAATTTCTTTCAAAAAAATTTCCAGCAACCCCCCTTAATACCTGAAGCATAAACAATACGCCCTACCTACTTGCAATAATTTATTAAAAAATTTAACTCTAGATTGATAAAAAACCCAGTTTCTTTGAACTAGTATTATGGTTTTCAAATCAACTCCATTTAATTTATTTGAACTAGTTTTAAATTTTGCAAAAAAAATGTATTTTTTAAATTGACATTCAAATGTTTTAGGACTTAGGGAAAAAAATGTGTTAAATTAGATGGATGAGTTTTATTAAAGGCATTCCTGATTTTGAATTTATCAAAAAAAATTATTGGGTTAGGCTCACGGAGCACTATATGGGAATCTTAAAAAGTGTGTTATTTGAATGCATTTTATGTCAAGCAAAGCAACTTTAGTATATGGGAAGTTCACACATTATGGCCAACCATTTGTGGGCTATAGCTGGTTAAAAGAAATAACTCAGCACATCTCCAAACACTCAATGATCATTCATTTTTACATTTAATTTTATTATTTAAAGTAAGTGTACATATATTTGAAATTATAACCTCAGCAAAGAACATATACCTGGTTCAATGCTCTGGGTATGATTACCTGATACAATGTTTAGATACCTGATACAATGTTCTAGGTACCTAGGAATGATAGGAAACTCATTACCCCTTTAAAGCATCAGTTTCAACATGTGTGTCCTGACACAATAATGTGTGACCAGAGGTTCACTAGTAGTTGCAAGACTTTGAAACAAATGCATTTGTAATACTGATCAAGCATAAATAGTTTTTTTATTCGTAAAGTAAAATGTTATTCCAGGTAAAATGGCATCTTTAATTATAGTCCATCTATCTACTTTAATAATTTGTTTCAATGCCATTCATTTAAAGAGCTATTGTGAGGCAAATTTCATCCCTGTTTAAATAAATGTGTAGTCCCTTCAGTAGTGCTTCTCAATATTTACCCTGAATGGTTGTTATCCTTATTAGCTTAGTATGGCAGTTATTCTTGTTAAGCTTAGTATTAACTGCTAGACGTGATCCTATTGGAACTGCAAGCATTGATCATCCCATTTGAACTGCAAGAATTGATCATCCTATTTAAATGCAATAATTGACCATCCCATTTGAACTGCAAAAATTGATCATCCTATTTGAACTGCAAGAATGGATCATCCCATTTGAACTGCAAGAATTGATCATCCCATTTGAACTGCAAGAATTGATAATCCTATTTGAACCTTGGAATAATGGTTGCGTGTTTGATTGGCTGATGGCAGCATGATCTCCTTTTTTTACATCCCCCCCCCCCCCCCCCCATTGACAACTTGTCACCTGGCAAGACTATTTCATTTTATCTTTTCAAAACATTGGAGACATGTCTGAGTTTTTGTGGGTGCCACTTTTCATTAATCATTGATAGGGAACACATTTTTGCTCATGAGTGATTTTTTTTTTTTTTAATGTGTTCCACAATTCTGATTTCTGATCTTTAAATTATGAATGCATAATGTTATGGTCATTATACATGGACATCAAATAAAATTAAAACATGCTGTTTTCTATAAAGTCTTCTTTAGCTTGGCTATTTATTTCAACTTTTGAAATTTTTTTTTCATGCTAAATAACTATGACTGTCGTAAGTGCAATCCATCTGTCTGTATTGCTATCACACTTGCTTTCACACAATATGTGTGAAGAATCATAATCTCTGCCTAAGTTACCTTGTAAAAGCAATAAATTAACCTTGAGGACAAAAAAAAAGGTTAGTGTATAACAAAACAACACATGAAACAATTATATTTAAAAAGAAAATAAAATTGTGTAAAAAGATGTAAAAAAATGTATATAATTAAAAACAAAATAGAAATAGTGTATAAAATTTGTAAAAATCATTACATAAGGTTTATGTACCAGTATAATTAGAAATTTAAAAAAAAGTTTTTAGTTAAATAATAAAGCATCATTTATATGAACACACACAAAACAAAAAACAGTTTGACAACAAGTTAGTAAATAGATGTGTTTTATTTTTCAACATTGACACAAATTTTAATAACATTGACACATTTTAATAACATTGATGCACACAAATTTAAGAATAAATGTATTTGCATTTGCAAGAAATCTTAGAAAAATTGACAAGAAAATAATAAAAAATTTCTGAGAAAAGTCATAGAAAAAAGGAAATAGAAAAATATTAGCCACAGTACAAGATAGACAACTCTTAGACTCTATATATTCAATAAAATTAAAATATGGCCTGAGCGTAAAAAAAAAATAATTCATCAAAAGAAATATTAGCTAAAACTCTCCTTGTTCATCTGAAAATGATTGAATAACAGCACTAAGCTTGAAACATTACATAACAGCACTAAGTTGAACATCATTTAAATGAAAATAGGAATTGCATTAATAATGAGATTTATAAGATTTTTCCACTATAGCTGCATGTTTCAATAATAATGCTAAATTTGACTTTGTTCACTTGATATATTAGTGAATATTAAGGATCTGAGAAAGGCACAGCCACCCCAGCTCCCCCCTTTTTTCCCCACTTGAAATTTAAAAAAAATAAAGAAGAAAGTCAAATTATAAGTGATTTTAAGTTTCTCCATCTAAAAGTACAATGTGGACAAAATATTTCTTCAAGGGAACATTTTTTGCAGTCTTAAAATTTTTGATGCTGTTCACAGCTGGCTGATTTTTTTATGAGTGATTGTGTCCCTGTGTATATTTGAGGCCCCCTGGATACAATAAACTAAAGTGATTTATCTTTTGAAATCTCAGGATACTAAATAAAAATTAAGGTAAAAGCAAAACACTTAAATTAATTTTGTTCTAAAACAAATATTTAAAGGTATTGGAAATCGTCTTATTTTTCCAGTGCAAATAAATTCTTTACAGTCCAACGTTGAAATAAACCCCAAGTCTTGATTAAGGAACATACAAAAATGTGTAGCAAATGCTTGATCCATACTAGAAGCAAGAATTTGATCTAACTCTAACATGTGAATGATCTGTCAATGGTATGAGATTTAATTAAGTACAGTAGAGGGAAAAACTTACACAAGAGACAATTGACATACAGCCATCAAAGGCGGTTCATTGATTTATGGGCATGAAGGAAAAAAAAAAACCCAGATATCCTGGCTCTGTTTTTCTGTAACAACTTGGTCAAGGTGGCATGAGAGATGTGACAACTTGGTCATTGGTGGCACCACAGCTAGAAGAACTTTAGTCAAGGCAGCCTGACAGAAGTGACAGGTTAAGTCAAGGTAGCATGACAGAAAGGACATAAGCCAAGGTAGCATGACTGAAGTGACAGATAAGTCAAGGTGGCATGACAGAAATGACAGATAAGTCAAGGTAGCATGACAGAAATGACATAAGCCAAGGCAGCATAACAGAAGTGACTGATAAGTCAAGGTAGCATGACAAGGACATAGCTATACAAGAACAAACTTGCTTTGATAGACATACAAATTGAACATGGATTTCTATATGAACATTTTTTTTTAGTCAGTAAGATAAATTAGGTATGAACAATTACATACACGTGGCCATTGACATCAAATTTAGTGATGAACAATTACATACACGTGGCCATGGACATCAAAATTAGGGATGAACAATTACATACACATGGCCACTGACATCAAAATTAGGGATGAACAATTACATACACATGGCCACTGACATCAAAATTAGGGATGAACAATTACATACACGTGGCCATGGACATCAAAATTAGGGATAAACAATTACATACACATGGCCACTGACACAAAATTAGGGATGAACAATTATAAAAATATGGCCAGACATAAAAATTAGGGAGAAACATTTACATACACATGGCCACTGACCTAATGGTAAGAAGTACCAAAAAAACTGGCACAGGCAAAATATTAGAATAAAATCTAACAAACACATACATTTATGGCATTAGCTGTTCCCCCAATTCCACAGGATACAAGACTATTTCAAAGGTGAAGATCTATAACATAGGACGAGTGTCTAAACTGATCAACTGACAAGGATATCACTCTCAGCCAAGTTGCTCAGTCAAAATATTCAAATCAGGGATCATGATTTTTATGAATGTCAGGGATCCTCAGCACATAAATGCCAGGGAGCCTAACTGAAGACATGCAGGGGTCCAAAACAGATAATTTTAGTTAAGAGAAAAATGATCACACGGGCACAGCCCAGTGGGAGATGAAGATAGTTCTGTGAGAGCAGCAGCAAGAATTTCATCCTAGTGCATTCAATTTTTAAAAAATTAAATGATATTTCTTGTTTGAACACTGCTCCATCCAAACCCACAGAGATCTAATATGAGGGGAAAAAAAAGAGTGAGGGGGTGGGAGAGTCATAAACTACCAAAAGGCAAATTGTATGTCCCCAACTTAGGGGGTAGTTTTTGCTATTCTCAGGGCCAATATCTTGAACCCTCAGAAAGGGTTGAAAAAAGTTCGGAACTCGATCAAAATATAGCAGTAAACAGTGTCAGCTCTGTTTGTACTTGTAAACATAAAGTTAGGTCTTATCTAATCTACTTGAGCAAAAAAAAACAGGGAGCAGCTTGGCACAACCACACCTTTTACTGAAACCCTTGATCTTCTCACAACACACCAACGCCCTTTGGACACCCCGCAAGTCCCCTAGAGCAGTGGCTCCCAAACATTTAAGTCTGGCTGACCAGTGAACAAATTTTGAAATTTTACCAGGGACCAGTGCATGATTTATTTTTGTACTTTTATTTCTGTTTGACAATTAAATATTTATGTTATGGGGATCAGCAGCGTTAGGCATGCGGACCGGTGAAGGTCCACGGACCGCCATTTGGGGACCACTGCCCTAGAGGCAAGCAAGGAAAAGGAGATGAGGGGCCATTCTATGGCTCATAAATTTCTTTTTTTAAAGTATTCAAATTGTAACGGTTGAAAAAAAAAACATAGGTTTCTAAAAAATTTGATCATTAATAAAATTTTACCACAGAGAATTAGGTACATGTGGAATCAGAGGTCAAGCCAGTGCCATCTTTAAACATGGGCAAACGTGGGTACTGCCCGAGTGCCCAAGTGAATTACTTCGCCTGGCTCCCCCAGTGCATCCCTTTGCCCAGGGGACTACACTGTTGCATGTCCCTGCGTCAAGCATAACTGGTATACGTAAATCACATATAATAAAAACCAACTTTCCTGCTAAACTAGGGCATGTTTAAAATCCCAACAGTTGATTAGCATGTTCATTTTAATGACTTTTCCCATTTATACTCCAACTGACTCCCTTATGTCTGCTATTTTTATGCCATAATAAGTCATAGTGAGACTCTTGTCTATTTTATGAATGATTTGATAGTCTAAAATATGCCAAGGGTGAATGGCTAATGGAATATGTTTAACCTATTTAATTTCAAGTCCTGTCTGTCGGGTGCTTACTTTCTGAATGTCAGGTGCTTACTTTCTGAATGTCAGGTGCTTACTTTCTGAATGTCAGGTGGTGCTTACTTTCTGAATGTCAGGTGCTTACCTTCTGAACGTCAGGTGCTAACTTTCTAAACATCAGGTGCTTATTTTCTAAACATCAGGTGCCTACTTTCTAAATTTCAGGTGCCTACTTTCTAAATTTCAGGTGCCTACTTTCTAAATTTCAGGTGCCTACTTTCTAAATTTCAGGTGCCTACTTTCTAAATTTCAGGTGCCTACTTTCTGAATGTCAGGTGCTTACTTTCTGAATGTCAGGTGCTTACCTTCTGAACGTCAGGTGCTAACTTTCTAAACATCAGGTGCTTATTTTCTAAACATCAGGTGCCTACTTTCTAAATTTCAGGTGCCTACTTTCTGAATGTCAGGTGCCTACTTTCTGAATGTCAGGTGCCTACTTTCTGAATGTCAGGTGCCTACTTTCTGAATGTCAGGTGCTTATTTTCTAATTGTCAGTTTTCTTTCCGACTGTCACATTTCATTCAGCATGGCAACCAGGTTGACACCTTCGAGAGCAAGGGCGACTGATTTAGTTTGACTTTATTTGAATTGCTTTGTCTAAAAACGGCTCATTGCTTTCATTATGCACTGAGATGATATCACAAGGAACACAAAACAAAGCGGGTGGACACAACTGAACACCCGCTGAACATAATTACATTCCTTTCACTCCTACTCCCAGCCGTGTCAAAACCCTCTGGTCAAAACCCATGAACAGTGAATGACAGTGTAATGCTTGGACAAGCCAGGGATGGACAATGGCAGGTCGTCGCGAGAATAGGAAATGTTTTGTGTGGATTCAGAAATATAAGTTTTACAGCATCAATCCATTCAGGCATATCAAATACAAAGGCAAACAACCCACAAAATCAAAAGTATTCCGCATAAATCCTTCAAATGAATTTTTGTTTACATTTATGCAACTGTACGTCATTTATCATTTAATAAGAAGCTGTTATGTAAATGGGTAAACGTATGGGGAAAACACGCTTCATGTTTCCTTCAAAAATAATTTTGGTTCCTGCGTACCCACATACGTCACAAATCACATAACACAGCAGCTACACAATAAATCCCCAAATCAAAAACACGAAGCCAGTAAACAAATCAGATTTCATGCATTTTCCCATGAAAAAAAAAAAAGAAGGAAAAACTGATTTTTGGGGCTTAGTGGGTGAGGCTGAAAAATTTGAAAGAATGAGATGTCATCGGCAACAAGTCTATGTGCCAAGTTTCAGCTCGATAGGATGACAGGAATTGGGTCATTTAGCCTCCTGAAGATTTTGCCACAAACACGAACAAAAGCGAGGTTAATATGAAGGATTTAAAAACAATGAAAGTCTGGTCAAATCAATTTGTGATGTCAAATGAAATCTTAGCACATTGAATAAGTTACAATATAAAAACTTAAATGTGTTTGGTGTGACCTAGATAACACAGCCATCAGCTCCATGTGAGGTTCCCACATGTCCAGGTTTGATGTGACCTAGTTAACACAGCCATCAGGTGCCAGTTCCATTGGGAGGTTCTCACATGTCTAGGTTTGGTGTGACCTAGTTAACATAGCAATCAGCTGACAGTTGCATGAGAGGTTCTCAATGTGTGTGTGCATGATGTCCCTTGAGACTTAAGTCACATCAGACTTAAGCGACACCGCCATGTGTTAAACAGTCCCAACGGTAAGAAAATAAGAAAATAAAATGAATGTCGATGTGAAAATTCAGTGTGAAAATTTGTGAGTCATATATAAAGTTACAGCAAAGAACAATTAATAAAAGTCTGTACAGAGTCGTAATTATAAAATGAAATAATGTTTGACAAAAGTCATTTCTTACCAATTAACCATTTGTAAAAAAAAAAAAAAAAAAAAAAACTGAAAAAACTGACAAATAACGATATGTGCCTTAAGATCAATACAAGCAAGAACTCTGTTGGGTATACATTTGTTTATGTTGTCGCTTATTATAGCAGTCGGGACAGCTCAAAGAGGATCATCATCTACAAAAAGATGTTCAATTATGTTAATCACATTCATGAACAAATATAAGAAAACGGGTAACAGTCGGCTTCAGCTTTCCAAAAGAGAGATTTGATCGGGTGAGGATCTGGAGGAAAAAAAAAAAAGGGGGGGGGGGGGGGGGGGGGTGGGGGGGTGAAAAAAAAAAAAAAAAAAAAAAATACAAAAAAAAAAAAAAAAAAAAAAAAAAAAAAAAAAAAAAATAGGGGGGGGGGGGGGGGGGTGGGTGTGGGTAAAAAAAAAAAAAAAAAAAAAACTATTTGAACAATGCAATACAATAAAGTAAATGTCCAATAAATAAATATTTATACTGTAATAAATATAACAGATGATCCCTCAGTTCTGACCAAACAAATATTCACCGAGCGCCTTTCTTCAGACCAAAGTTTTAGAGAACAAGAAAAGCTCAGACAAGGACTTCCGAGACTGAAACCAACAGGTCGCATGAGCAATGCAATGTAAACAATATGTCACATGTGTAAATAGAGTGTTGCAATAATAACACATTTCCATTTATTTGGTTTAACAAAAAAAACAACAAAAAAAAGAATCTTATTTCACCTGATAATTACCGTAGAAAATATAGAACATTTTCTTGATCAATAGAACGGTACATCACTTGATTCTAGGGGGCCAACTTGGAGGGGGTTTATAAGGGTAATTAAGTTGTTAGATTGCTTGATTCTAGGGGACCAACTTGGAGTGTGTTTATAAGGGTAATAAGTTATTAGATTGCTTGATTCTAGGGACGAACTTGGAGTGTGCTTGTAAGGAAAATAAGTTGATAGATTACATGAGTCTAGGGACCAACTTGATGTGGGTTTACAAGGAAAATAAGCTGATAGAGCAAGGTTCCTGTTCAAGGCTTACAACTAGGAAAGTCTGCTCAATTTAACATTATTTTATTCTTAGCCTACAAACACACAATCATTCAGAGAATTGAAAATGATTTCACTCTTAACACACCAATCAATCATTAAATCAATTAAATATTATTTTATTTTTAGCATACACACCCACATGATCATGGAGTCAGCTGAAGATAATTTCATCACTAGCATACAAACAAGAAACAAGGGAATTTCCCAAGTGGCCCATCTCCTTATTTCTAGATTGAACATTACAAACATTGCTTTGTTCATTTCTCCTGGGTCCACTTCCTGTCACTGAGGGAAATGTATTCAATCAAATTATTTCAACCTTGACAGATTTGACATGAACAAAAAACACTCTTGGTTACATAATTTGTTTTTAAAAAAAAGCCACAGTCTGGGACAATTGTTTCATTTAAGCCACAAACTGGGACAATTGTTTCATTTAAGCCACAGACTGGGACAATTGTTTCCAGAAAGCCACAGACTGGGACATTTGTTTTCATAAAAGCCACAGACTGGGACATTTGTTTCATGAAAAAACCACAGACTGGGACATTTGTTTCAAGAAAGCCACAGACTGGGACATTTGTTTCATAAAAAAACACAGACTGGGACATTTGTTTAAATTAAGTAAACAAAAGGAGATTACTTTATTATTCTATGTTTTTATTGCAATATTTGTTTCCAGTAAGTTCATATAATAATAAAAATATAGTACAGAAATAAAATTTGAAGGACTTAGTGCTAAATGTACTTAAGTCACAAAATACAATATTTTTTTTTAGAAAATCCAGTTTAAATATTTTTTTTTTGTCTTTGAAATTTGATCTTTTTTTTTGTGTGGCTTGTTTAAATAAGAGAATTTTTACATTTTAATGTGTTCAAATTAATGCAATACACTTGGCTAAACCTGATGAGAAAATGTCACAGTTTATAGATTGATTTTAACAAAAAAAGTTTTTAAAATTAAATACTTTTAGCACTAGGGTCTTCAAATGGACGTGACAAGATGGGAGGGATGTAGGGGATGTTCCTCAACACACCTGTCCCTTCCATTCTTTATATCATACATCTAGAGATTAATCCCACAAGAGCTGTCAGTTTATCACACGTGTGTGTCCCCCTGTTCACCGTCAGTATGCTTCACACTTATCTGGAATAGTACACTCTGTAGTAAAGTGTTTTGGACCGCCATAAAGAGTAAGAATTGTCGAATTTGAGAAGGTAAACGCCTTGCCCGGGGTACGTGTGGCTCCCGCAGTAGACCTCCTCGTGACAGTCCCGGCGGTAGACAGGTATAATCTCATCGGTGGGGGGCCGGTTCTCAGCTTTCTTAGAGCCTGGACCTTTCTCTACGTCACCCGCCTTGCCTTCTGTCATAGGAATAGCATTGGGTTTGTAACTCAAGACATTTTATTAAGTTATTTGAATAATTTACTCATAATTCAATGAACGCCCCTATTCTATATAGGATAAAAAATTGTTTCGTTAGATGCCCGCCTCATAGATTTTGTGAAATCAACTTTTTAACTATCTCTATGAAGTGTGGTGAAAACATTTCCTTAACTCTCACTGCAGTCAAAAGGAATGGAACCTAGAACATCTAAGTGATTCAAGGAATACCATCACTACAGTCATATAATGGAATCTAGAACATCTAAGTGATTCAAGGAATGCCATCACTACAGTCATATAATGGAACCTAGAACATCTAAGTGATTCAAGGAATTATTTCACTAAAGACAGGTAATGGGAAAAATGCAGAGCCTGGGGAACTCCTGCTATGGTATGGAACGCTGCACAGCTAAGTAAAACAACTGGCATCCACTGTAGTCAAGTACAGGTCAAAGATCAGACCCTTCATGTTCCTACCTTCTGGCTTCGCTCCTTCCTCTTCCTCCTCCTCTTCATCGCTGGACTCGCTAACGTGGACGCTGACAGTATTGGTCTGGGAGACGCTCCACTCAAAGTAAACACCAAAGCCGATGTCGTAGTAGTCGGTGGCAAACTCCCAGAACAGGCAGGTACCATCTTCATGTGTGGGTACCCTCACCTAAAGAAAATGGATTATAATTAGGGCTATCATTTACAGGGGTGGGTACCATCCATTATATGATGGTTCCTTTATTACTGGTAACTCATGGACAGAACCCACATTTTTTGTGAGCTAAATGCAAATTGGAAATAAAAACATTATTGAGTTAATATAAATAATTATCTGTGATTTTCTTGTACAGCTCTGTACAGCTTTTATTTTACCATTGATTCTATTTGACTAACTCCTGTACAGATTTATTTTACAATTGTTTCTCTCTGACTAACTCTGTACAGCTTTTATTTTACCATTAATTCTCTTTGACTAACTCTGTACAGATTTATTTTACCATTGATTCTATTTGACTAACTCTGTACAGCTTTTATTTTACCATTTCATAGATCCACTAAACAAAGAATGTAAGTTGTAAATACAATTCATGTAGTAAGAACAGTGAGGTTAGCCAACTACAGTGCTGAGTAAAAAGGATATGTGGGACTTCAAATTTCTGACAAGCTTCTGTTTAATGGGACATTTAGTTACAGAGAGGCATTTGAGGAAAAGTTCTCCTAAACCTCAATGCAACATAACCTGCATCATAGCATTGTCATTGTATACAGGGTTATCTTTTCTGGTACCTTTTATTGCCAAGTGACATTGTTATACATGTGGCGTGGGACTACACACAAAGCTCTAGTGTTTAATGTAAACAATTAAGCAAGAAAAGAAAGACGATCCAAGCGGGTGGGAGACTACATATTTCCTACTGTCCTGACAACACTAAGGGAAGGAAATAAAGCATAGCTACCAGGTGACTACTCATCAAGCTGACAGAGTTATCCCTCAACACTCACCGTAACCGTTTCCCCCGAGCCTATTTTTATCACAGATTCTTTATCTTTGACCAGCGACTCCTTGAATTCCTTAATATCTTTGCGGGTCCACATTGAGGCTGCCGCCAAAGGGTATTCTACACATCCAAACAGGTGGCCCAATGATGGTGGTTTGGAAATGGTGGGGGAGGGGCACAGGTGGTGCAGAGAGATAGAAAGTATATGTCAACAACATCAAACATTTAATAGAAAATAGGGGTTTGCTTATCACACAACTAGCTTTTTATTTGGGCGGGAGGGATGGTGTGTGAGGGGGGGTGCGTAAAGATAAGAAGATAAACAATGATGAATTGGTATGTTGTCTTGCCAAAAAAATGATTATCTCAATTTTTTTTAAAGACAGCGCTCTTCGTTCTTCCATTGATATTTCAGATGATTGGATTAGCCGTTTTGTGTTAGCAAACAGTTTATTTAAAATGAATTATTTGTAAAGAGCCATGTACAGACTGATTCTGTGTCATTCTGGTGGCTTCCTAGAAATCCTAGAGCTCAAGCCCATCACAGACCAATTTAAAATCTATGGAGTTTGCTTTCAGGAGTTGGTCCACAGACCACTGCTCGTTAATCCAACAATAATACACTTTGTCTTAAAGCTGATCCACATTTCCAAAGAAACGCTATGCCCCCCCCTGCCCCCCCCCCCCCCCCACCCCTTCTATTTTTGAATTAAGTAAGCTTAACTTAAGGTAGAAATATTTGGATGTGGAAAAGTAAAATTTTATGCTTCACTCAACTATATTGTAACATTAAGTACCACATAAAATGATTATTAAAATAAACTGGCCAATTTAAACACAAAATGACACCAATAAACACGTTGGCACAGTTTTACATATTAAGAAATTACATTCACCAACTTTGGGCAGTTCAAATTCTTTGACAACTAATCAGATATTATTGAATGTCAAATGATAGAGATTATAGAACAAATCTTGTATTGATAGTTGCAGGTAAGAGGGTCAGACATGTAACAATAATATGAGTGTATTGGAGACAATGAAAGCCTTGGTGCTGATGAACATAGATAGACAAGACAAATTCCCAACACATCTAGGGCCAACCCCACTGGTGGAACATGATAACAGTTACCACATGACACTGGCTCAACCTGGTCTTAAGGACTAAACAGGTGGGAGAATTCCTTACACAAATTCGGGTGTTCATAATGTTCTTATATTGCAATTATTTTCATGTACTCAGAAACTGAAAAATCTTGACGTAACTTGCACTTCTGGCTAGTTAATTATTAAATCTACCTATATGGTGTTGCACACATGTATTGAGACATCTGGATGTAAGTAAGGATGTTGAAAGATACATTTAAATTATTTTTTTAAAAAGTAAATTATCGGCTGTTGTCTAAAGTCAAAATATTTTTTGGTGCATTAAAGCAAGTAGCCATTGGATAACAAGATAAATGGAACTGAAAGCTGTGAGACAATATCGAAGGCCTTCTAGAGAGCACAAATGACTAGGCGCCGCTCAACACCAACGTCTCACCGTGGCTGTGGCCAGGGAACCGATGCGAACTACATTCTCTTTGGATGACCTAAGGCCATCTTTGAACTCCTTCAGATCTTTCCTGGTCCATAGAGAGGCTGGGACTATTTTGGGCAGAGACGTAATGGCAGCTGGGAGAATTCAAATCAGGATCATTGGATGACAAGGGCGGCCATTGTGGTTTTTAATATTTCTAGTATGATTTTAGTTAGCCTTAAGGTGGGTTTACACACTGTCAATTCCAACAACAAACAGAACATCATTCAGGTCTGGACATAAAATCCTTCATTTAATACAGTGGCTCCCAAACTGTTCATAAATGCGGTCTGGGAAACTGTAGCTTCTTCCCTGGGGTGCAGCGGAATGAAAATAATTTTTTAAATCCTATCTTTATTTCAATTTAATTCCATATGATAGGAACTTAGTAAACGAGGTGCACATCAGAAACTGTCCTAGCAATAACTTTTAGAAAAATCTCTTTACAAATGTTTACTACATGGCGCTTTGTGGTATATACATGTTTATTTATTATTCCCGAAACATTTATTTCTAAAAAAAATAATCCCTTTTTCGTAATGTACTAGTTAAAGTTGACTTAGGGCGTCTTGAGAAAATCTAAATTCAGCAAGAGTGTCAAGAATCGCAAAAAGGTTTGGGAACTACTGATTTTATATAAAAAATTTCTTGAAATATTTTTTGGTTCCCATTCTCAAAACTTAATAATCCAAAAGTTACATACTTTTTTTGTCATCCCTAGTTTATTTCTTTACCCTTTAAATTATTCATAAATTAATTTCCTGAAAATGATAAAATAATGCTTTCTTTTAAATCCGCATTGCAAAACTACACTCTATCTAGGTGTGACTTAAGTTACCGCCACAAGCCAGGTGTGGCTTCACTCCTTCCTCAACACACGGAGAAATAGTTGTGACACTGAACAGCTGTGTCTTACCTTCTTCATCATCACCACATGGAGAAATAGGTGTGACGCCGTCTGGAATGGGTGAAGCCATTGCCTTGACATGCTCCGTGCTACTGCCATTGGCTGTAACATCTCCGTTGGGAGTGGTCAAGTTCTGTTGTTGGAGCAGCTGCTGTTGGTAGACTTGCTGCATGTACTGCTGGAAGTGCTGGTCCTGCAGCTGTTGAATTAGGTCGTCTTGCTGTGGACAAGACAATTGGTATCTAGTTTTTCCAATTACTGCTACTGCATTAAACACAAGTATCCATTTTTACTATGATGAAACTTCAGTTATCTAAAGGTGACTAACCCTTAGTTACCTAAATCTATACCTGTCTACCATTGGTTACTTAGCCTATACATGACTAACCCTTAGTTACCAAGTCTATACCTCACTAAGACTAACCCTTAATTTTTCAATCTAGACCTAACCCTTATCCAAAGCTGAGTTAGCCTTACTTATCTTGTCTATAGCCAATACTTAGTTACCTGGACCATAGTGGGAGAATGTAAAACAAGTTTTATTCAAATCAATGTTGAATTTCTGAACGTCAACATGATTTATCAAAATAAACTGTTATGGTTGGTCAATATGATAATGTTATGAATAGTCAAATGGGTAATATATCAACATGTTCTGTCAAAGTACTTTGTTTAAGTGAATCAATGCACATGTTTCATTGGGTCATAATATGTGTTTAAAAGAAGTCGCACCATGGCCTGGTTGTTGGGATACTGCTGCTCAGCGTACTGCCTGAACTGAACCTGAGTTTGTTGGTTGAGCGCAGCTCGGATCTGTAACCTGTGGGAAGGGGACAAAATATAATTTTGCATGAATGTGACTTACATAAGCCAAATATATTAATATTGATGAATTTCTTCGAGATATAGATAAATCCGCAAACCTAAAAGGCAACCAAACTTGGTATGGTCGAACCCCAGGACCCATGGTCAGTACAAACCTAGACAGATAGTAAAACCCTTGGGAACATGGGTGGTGCATAGATAGAGGGAGTGCAGCCAAACTTGGCAAGATCAAACCCAGAAAAATGGTGTACTTTCAAATTTGTTAAATTATAAGAATGTTTTAAACTATAGCTGTTAAAGTTTTAATAATTTCAACCCCCCCCCAGGAAAGTTTTAAAAAATGGACTTGAATATAAAATATTTACCAGCATTGCTGTCATTCTATTGATTGACATAATGACAAAATGAGTGTGCTCTTTGTTCATAATAATATTTAAACATTCAAATAATGTTTGTTCCTTTTTTTTTTTGCCCTCCTCCTTTTAAAAAGGGAATTATTATTGCGCTAGTTTAAATTGTGAAGTTAATGGGAATTTGTTTTGTTCAATTCACGTTTTTAAAAATATATTTTAAAAAAAAAAAGCAAATTGGAAAAATAATTGTTGATTGTAATCCAAACAAATTTCCTTTAGGCTTGGATCAATAAGCAAATGTAATCTTGCCCCAAACAGTCTCCCGCCAGTGTCAACTTAGACATTAACCAAGGCTACACATACAGCGAATGTCCAAATGGTATGGTAAAAGAATAGATTGTCTCATCTGGCGAGGGTTAAGGAACAGGGACAGAGAATGGGTATATAAGGGGGGTGGGGGGGTGATGTTAAGGAGGAAGGGTTGGGGGGTCTGAGGGGGGGGAGGGGGATAGGAAACCTGTTTTATGGAGGGGTGGGGAGCCAGTATGAGAGATTTTGGGATGGGTTTGGGTTTAGGATAAGGATGGTGTTTAGGGGAATGGTGCGTGAGGGGCAGGGCACAGTAGCACAGAGGATTTGATGGTATTGAATAAATAGAAGGTGTGGGGTGGGGGGGGTGTTGGCAAGCCTAGATGGGTGAGAGGATAAGGAAATGCTTAGAAATAATGAAACATCAGGGCAAGAAACATACAAGTAAATGTCTATGAAGTGTGTGTGAAAGGGGGTGGATGGGTGATGGGACACAACTCACAGGACAAACCACTAACACAAAGAAAGATTAAAATTTAAAACTTAACCCCCTCCCCCCCACCCCAAATCCCTTTAATAATTCCCCCAATCTTTCCCCAAAATCTCTCTTATAAAAACCTCTTATTTCATGTCCTACCTATCAGCCCCCACCCCCCATGTAAGCCTAGTGGTAAAATCTATTGATCCCAGACTGCAGTCTCCTATCATGTCTATTGATTTACTTCTAACACCAAAATAAAGTGGAGATAGCTGGGCTGTCTCCAGCAAATTCACTTAAAATTAACTGTTTTCATCCACATATTTTCTCATATCTTCCAGCTCTTGAACTACTCTACAGAGCTTCTGTCCTATTCATTCTCAACTTCAATGACTTATTTGTCTGTTGTATTTACTTAGTCAATTATGTGTTTGAAAATCTTCTCTTTCCTTTCAAATTTAATACTAAAACCTCTATGTATGAGACCTTCCATTCTCACATTAATACCAAGATCTCTATGTATGTGGACCTTCCATTCTCACATTAACAATAAGACCAAGACCTCTATGTCCATGACCTTCCGTTCTCACAATGATACTAAGACCAAGACTTCTCTGTCTACAACTTACTCTTGTTCATGTTGCTTTTGTTTCTCTGCTTCTTGAGCCAACCTGGCAGCTTCCTCTGCTGCCTTCTTTTTGGTCTCTTCAATTTCTTCTTTCTGTTTTTCCTCTTCCTCTTTTCTGTCAGATTTTTTTGGAAAAATTACAAAGTTGAAAGATCATGCAACAGAATTTTTATTTATTGATTTAGGCATTTTTATATAGCGCTTACCTTAAAGCTCTAAGCGCTTTACAATTATTAAAAACATGTAAACTGAATGTCCCCCCCCCCCCTTTCCAACATTTCCCCACTATCCTCTTCAACCCCAACCCCTACCGACTGACTCCTTACTCCAAACCTCTCAGCCCATAACCCCCCAACCTACACGTATCCCCATACAGTGGTATTTCTTTATCTTTATTTATCCGTTTTGCAATGCTCAGCAAGGACACTTATAACAATTATATCATAATAGCATATCCAAGAAGATGTCCAACATGATATCAAGACATGTGTCATGTGGTACAAGACATCAAGATGTATGTCAGGTCCAACAAGATATCAAGACATAAGTCATGTCGAACAAGACATTAAGACATGTCATGTCCAACAAGACATCAAGATGTATGTCAGGTCCAACAAGATATCAAGACGTATGTCCTGTCCAACAAGACATTAAGACATATGTCATTTCCAACAAGATATCAAGACGTATGTCCTGTCCAACAAGACATTAAGACATATGTCATTTCCAACAAGATATCAAGATGTATGTTATGTCCAACAAGATATCAAGATGTATGTCATGTCCTACAAGACATCAAGACGTATGTCATGTCCAAAAAGACGTATGTCATGTCCAATAAGACATCACGATGTAAGTCATCTCCAACAAGCCATATGTCAAGTCCAACAAGACATCATGACGTATGTCATGATCCATAATTCACATGCCCCTGGCGCTTAGATTACATAGGAGACAAACTCTGACAATGTCTACTCACAATTTTCTCTCTGCTTCCTCTTTCTCTGCTTTATGTGCCTCTACATATGGTTCAAATAAGGAACACGAATCAGACATCTTTTGTACAAACTCAGCCATTGCATCCTCTTTGGCCATGTCTCCTAACGTCTGCCAGGCTTGCCTGTAACATGAGAACATATGGTCATATGTAATATCTGCCAAAATATCAGGTCAAAAGCATCAGCATCAACACTCCCTTGTCAAGTTAAAAGTATCAGCTCCACAATGCCAAGACTATCACCTCTCCCTTACCATGCCAAAAGTATCAGCTCTACCTTATTGTGTCAAAAGTATTATCTCTATGGTATCATGCCAAATCATCTCAATCTTATCATGCCATTTGTATAATCTCTATCTTATCATGTCAAAAGTATCATCTCTCCCTTATCATGCAAAATATATCATCTCTACCTTATAATGCCAAATGTATCATCTCTCACTTATCATCCCGACAGTATAATTTCTACCTTATAATGCCAAATGTGTCATCTCTACCTTTTTGTGCCAAAAGTATCAGCTCTACCTTAACATTCCAATAGTATCATCTCTATCTTATTGTGCCAAAAGTATCATCTCTATGGTATCATGCCAAATCATCTCCACCTTATCATGTCAAATGTATCTCTATATTATCATGCCAAATATATCATCTCTACCTTATCATGTCAAAAGTATCAGCTCTACCATATCATGTCAAAAGTATCATCTCTACCTTAATATGCCAAAAGCATAAGCTCTACCTTATCATGCCAAAAGCATCAGCTCTACCTTATCAGTTTCCAACCCTTATTTCTCCCCCAGCATTGGATTTCTAGAGGACTCAAATGGTCCAATTATAAAATCAATGCACCTCGCAGTGAATCAGTTATGACTATATTTGTATTTCAGCTGCTGGTTGGAGAGTTGAAAAATCGGCTAAATCTTTACCTTTGGACGTTTTCAAGGAATCTCAAGTTTTTAATCATTAGTCCCAATGAACTTATTTTGCAAAGTAGGAAGCGCCTCAACATTTTTTTCCACTGCCAGTGAAAAGATTCATAATCTGTTCATGTTTAAAGTACAGTAAATTGAACCACAACAAAGTTGTTCTCATGCCTTTAAATCCAAATAAACTAGTAATGTCAGAATTAACCAGCTTGACGATAATTTATTGCTAATGACACAATATTTAGCTTGCATTGTCTGCTTGATGAGATGGCTGGTTTTTTTTTTATAAATTTGCAGTGCATTATGTTTTTTAACCTGCCAGATTTTGAGAAGCACTGGTATTGTAATGGCAGATTACATTATCCCAGCTGCACATGTAACCTGACAAATCTTCTAATCCACAGCATAAATGATATTTGAAAATATGACAGATGGCTTGGTTTCACTCTGACAAGAGACTGTTGGTAGGATAGTTTAGATTTGACATGGAGTAATTGGAGTACCAGCAGTGGGACCCAGAGTATTGCATAATGAAAAGTGAGTTAGGGGGAGTTGGGAGTGAAATCAATAGCATGAATATTAAGTTAAAATTAGGCTTGTTAATACACACTGTTGCTTCATGTCTTGGTCTCTGTGATTTCAATGTGATTATGACAAGTCTTAGTCTCTGATTTCAATGAGATTATAACATGTCTTGGTCTCTGTGATTTCAGTGAGATTATAACACGTCTCAGTTCCTGTGATTTCAATGAGATTATAACAAGTCTTGGTCTCTGTGATTTCAATGAGATTATAACACATCTCAGTTCCTGTGATTTCAATGAGATTATAACAAGTCTTGGTCTCTGTGATTTCAATGAGATTATAACACATCTCAGCTCCTGTGATTTCAATGAGATTATAACAAGTCTTGGTCTCTGTGATTTCAATGAGATGATAAAAAGTGCATTGAATGAGAGAATAAAGCCCATCCAACAAATAACCCCACCCCATAAGTCAACAATGAGTTCAGCCATATCAATGTAGGTTTATGCCGTCATAGTCTACTTCTGCAATAGAACTAAATAAACTCATCAACTAGGTTACATAGCACAATTACAGTTCAAAACTACCTCACAATATGATGAACACAACTTTGGAAGTAAATTTATCAACACTCAGTGGAAACTAGACGGAAGGAAGGAGCAAAAGGGGGGAGATGGGGTGTTAACCAGGGTAAGTTCTTATAGTGCAAGTTGTCACATCATAGTACAGTCTATCATTAGGTTTTCACATCATGGTACAGTTTATCATTAGGTTTTTACTTCATGGTACAGTCTATCATTAGATTTTTACTTCATGGTACAGCCTATCATACGTTTTCACATCATGGTACAGTTTATCATTTGGTTTTCACTTTATAGTACAGTCTAATCATTTTATTTTCACATAATGGTACAGTCTATCATTAGATTTTCACATAATGGTACAGTCTATCATAAGTTTTCACATCATGGTACAGCCTATCATCAGTTTTTATATCATGGTACAGCCCATCATTAAGTTTTCACATCACGGTACAGCCTGTCACTAGAGGAATATAAAAAAAGTGGCAATAGCAATAGACAGGACTAAATCTGACTAAATCTGTAGCTCAGCCTGACAGAAACTTTTCCTTTAACTAACAACAATAAATATTTGACCAGCTTTTGTACAGACGCTGTATGTAAACAAAGTATGTGTGGGATGGTTTGGTCACTTTGTCTCATTCTCTCTCTTCAGGCAAGAGCTTTTATGTTCTTAAAATACAACTGGTCACAAGGAGATCCCATGGTGATCACCAGATAACCTTGGTAATAAAGAGATCCCGTGGTAGCCAGGAGATCCCTTTGGTAGTCAGGAGATCCCTTGGTAGTCAGGAGATCCCTTTGGTAATCAGGAGATTCCTTGGTCATCAGGAGTTCCCTTGGTAGTCAGGAGATCCCTTGGTAGTCAAGAGACACATAGGAATGACCCACCCCAAATACTGGTTACTTGCAGTTAAGGACATTTCATGTATTGATATGTAAAGCTTCTCTGTGAATGCTAAAATTCACTCTTTCACCGTCTGCTCATACTAAAACCTTTATCATTGTGCACCCATTCACTGTCTGCTTATGCTACGACCTTCATCATCACGTACCCATTCACTGTCGGCTTATGCATGAACCTTCCTGATCGCATATTCATTCAATGCCTGGTCATGCTACAGCCTTTATCCTCACAAAATGTCCAGAAATTCTTTGAGAGTTGCAATGTCAAAATCATATCTCACTAAACAAATTAGATTGGCAGTAAGAAATACACATTTTGTTTTTTATTATAGGTGTCCATTTTTTACTGACTAACAAGGAAGAAGGACTACACTCTCTTAGGTGACCTTAAACGGTTTATTTGATAGTAAGTATATGCTTCACTGTGATGTAACCTTATACTGACGAATCCCTATAATAAAACTGATATATCGCTATGATTCAGCTTACATATCCCTATGATTAGACTGATATATCGTTAGGATTAGGATGACGCATCGCTACAATGAGACTGATAATCGCTATGATTAGGATGACATAGCCCTATGAGACTGATATATGGCTATGATTAGGCTGGCGTATCCCTATGATGAGACTGATATATGGCTATGATTAGGCTGACGTATCCCTATGATGAGACTGATATATCGCTATGATTAGGCTGATGTATCCCTATGATGAGACTGATATATCGCTATGATTAGTCTGACGTATCCCTATGATGAGACTGATATATCGCTATGATTAGTCTGACGTATCCCTATGATGAGACTGATATATCGCTATGATTAGGCTGACGTATCTCTATGATGAGACTGATATATCGCTATGATTAGGCTGACGTATCCCTATGATGAGACTGATATATCGCTATGATTAGGCTGACGTATCCCTATGATGAGACTGATATATCGCTATGATTAGGCTGACGTATACCTATGATGAGACTGATATATCGCTATGTTTAGGCTGATGTATGCCCAAGGTTACCCCTATGATTACTTGTTTCCAGCTGCACTAGATAATAGGCGGAAACTTGACAACACCAAAACAGCAAATGTGAAAAGCAGTTTTTAAAGATTTGATAACTCTTTAGTAGACAATAGCAGAGTATAAGAAAAATTGGATGGAAAGAATTTTAGAACACTGAAGGAGTAGATAAAGATAGATAGTAACTCTTTGAGAACACTGAAGTAGAGAAAAGTAAATGGTAACTATGTGAGTACACTGAAGTAGTAGACCAAAGGTGTATGGAAACATAGAGACACGACTAAAACACTAAGTGAACATTGAAGTAGTTTGGTCTCTTTAAAAGGCAGAACTTTGAACACTACACATCAGATGACAGCAAGCAAGCAATGGGCCTCAGAGTGTCAAACACTGATGTGGTGTGCTGACTCGGTCAGGCCGGCCGTGCTGACAAGGACAAGGCGTGCTGACATTGTCAAGCTTAGCTGACACATCGGACAGAAAGCTTACAACTAGCTTACCACTGGGATAGGTCAGTTCCAATCCTGTCATCAAAACGAACATACCATGTTGGTGATAACAAAGAGAAATGCAGGAAATCAATATCAACAAGACAGAAATAATTGGCCAGTTTTGGGATACTAAGTTTTCTTCATCAACTGCTGCTGCTGTGACAAGAGCTGGAAGTGTGTCTATTGGGGCGTTGTAGTGTGAAATGAAAGTAAGATGTCTGTCAAGATGAGCTAGGATAAACGGGGATGATTAATGATTATGGCTATGATGATCTTGGGTGATGTTAAGTTCATGGCTAGTTGACCTAGGATAATCATGGGGATGAAATAGTGTGGCTCGTTGACCTAGGATAATCATGGGGATGAAATACTGTGGATAGTTGACCTAGGATAATCATGGGGATGAAATGCTGTGGCTCGTCGACGTAGGATAATCATGGGGATGAAATACTGCGGCTAGCTGACCTAGGATAATAATGGGGATGAAAGTTGGGCTTGCAATCAAATAAGGGAAGCCTGCATTTTTTCTTGGCCATATGTCTTGAAGCTTTTGGATCACTGTGTGTGTACGCATATGTGCAATTTTGAAATGTACATAACATGTGGTCTGTTCCCTGACTAAATATGTGGCACACCATACCCCAGCACAATTTTGAGCTTTTCTTTTCACTAGTTTGAAGCTTAACAAACAAGCAGGAGGGAATGGGGGTGGGGGGGGGGGACTAGATAAAAAAAAAATCAATAGCAGCTATTTTCAGAATGAAAATCTAAGGTCTGGGAATTGTTGAGGGACTTAGTCTGGTGGTTTGAATATAAGTGTAGGATTGATGAGATAGATGTGGTTTCACTGTCACTGGTGGTTTGAATGTAAGTGTAGGATTGATGAGATAGATGTGGTTTCACTGTCACCTTCTGTGCTGACCAAAACCCGACAAAAGAATGTAATGTAGAGAATAAAACGTGTTCAATAATTCAAGTGGCCAAACCTTGGTTGAATTAAGAGTTCAGCCGCTGACCTGTAAAACTGATTTACAAGCCCATCTATAATTCACACTCCTAGGACCACCACTGATCACGTTTATTCATGGATGTCATAAGTAATGGGCATACATGAATAGCCACATCTACTCTATTCAAAAGCAAAAAACAAGCCAACAACCCTGAGCCAACAATAAGCCCATTGTAGTGCCGCCATGAAGACCATACATTAGTGTGACATTGGCTGCTCTAAGGCTTCTGTTCAGCTAGTGATCTGACCTCTTTCATTCTTCATAGCAGCTATCATTCATTCAGTGCGTCCACCAGCTCCATACAAGACCAACATCATTTATTTAATGTGTCCACCTTCTCCATACAAGACCTACTATCATTTATTCCCATTGTACATCTCTGCTAAACAAAGCCAACTATTTTTATTCAATGTGTCCACCTGCTCCATACAAGACCAACATAATTTATTCAATATGTACATCTATGCTATACAAAACCAAATCAATTATTTTTATTCCGTTTGACCACCTCCTCCATAGAAGACCCACTATCATTTATTTAATGTGTCCACCTCTTCCATAAATGACCTATAATTTATTTAATGTGTCCACCTCCTCCATAAAAGACCTACTATCATTTTTTTAATGTGTCCACCTCCTTCACACAGGACCTACTATCATTCATTTAATCTGTCCACCTCCTTCACACAGGACCTACTATCATTCATTTAATCTGTCCACCTCCTCCATACAAGACCTACTATCATTTATTTAATGTGTCCACCTCCTCCATAAAAGACCTACTATCACTCATTTAATGTGTTTACCTGCTCCATACAAAACAACTATCATTTATTCAATAGAAAGTTTCAAGCTCAGGTAAGAAACATGTTCCAAAAGGGTGAGTCCCAATGACATCACTTATATGCCAGACTAATAACTAAAATGAAATGGCCTGTTCACTAAACTAAAGAAATAATTTGTAAGAAAACCCAGTATTTTTTTAAAAACAACAACCCATAATTTATTTTCACAATGAGCAATAAAAGCTTGGCTATGGTAAGTCAGGAAATGTACAGCTATTTTAGTTTATGACCAATGTTAAATGTTACTCTCGAGTTATAATAATCTTTCTTGTCTAAGTTGTGCATTTCCTAGAATCAATCTCAAATGAGATTGATAAGCAATGGCTTACCTTACAAATTAAATAAAATTAAATTAAAATTAAGTGTTTAGACATTGTATGAAAACAAACTACAAACATTCATACCTTCTGTCGTTGCCCACAACGTCTAAAAATCCAACATCGGGCAAAAGGTCTGGTCTGAACTTGCCGTAAGCTGCTTGCTTGGTCAGTGCAACTAGTTTGAGCTTTGTCTGATAGGTCAACTGTAGGGCTTTGCCTTCTTTATCTGAAGAAATATCCAACAGTAGCACACCCTCAATTATGGAGATTTGGAACAGAAACATACTTCCTTGTCATTTTTACATCAAAATAGCAGAGAAGAAAGATGTTCAAAATCAGTGAGAAACCATTTGAAGCCATACATAAATTAACACAGCACATACCCCGGCCACTCATATTAAGCTTCATGTACATCTTAAGTTCAGTAGGATTTTTAACAAACTGAAAATTTAATGAGAATTGAAAGAGGCACAAAATTTATAAACCGATTTTGGGTGTGGGGGAAAGGCGTTTAAAAAAAAAAAGTTCTTGATTGTTTTATGCACATGTACGTCTCAAATCTTGTTTAAAATCACAGACAAAACCAAAATTCACATTATTTTTATGTGTAAGTTTTCTCATGTCTTATGATTTGTCAAAAGGGAAAGATTACTGCCCTTCTTGTTTGATTTATTAACTATTACAATTATTCAAGTAGCTGCCAAAAAAAACGCTTTGAGCAGTATGTAAATGTCTTTTCAGTAACATCAGTATGTATGTCTACTTAGTTACATCAGAATGTGTATCTAGTTACATCAGTATGTATGTCCATTTAGTTACATAAGTATGTCAGTATGCCTATTTAGTAACATAAACGAACAACTCTTCACTACGGCTGTAAAACAGTTTGTTGTTTCACATATCAGTGGACGGTGAACTTTTATCTTGAACATGTCATTAGAATAAAATGAATAATTCACAGAATTCTCAATAGAGAAAAATCAATACTCTCTTGTCATACCCCATCAGGATAGTGTCTTAACACAAAATAAACCAAAAAAATCAATACTCTCTTCCTCATAACCACTCGGGATAGTGTCCTAATACAAAATAAACAAAAAAGCAATACTCTCTTCCTCATAACCACTCAGGATAGTGTCCTGACACAAAATAAACACAAAATCAATACTCTCTTCCTCATGACCCATCAGGATAGTGTCTTGACACAAAAGTAAACATTAGATAAAGGTCAGATTAGATTCATTGCAATCCAATCACCTTGTTGTGGAATCTGATATTTTGCCATGTCAGCTATAAAGTTAACAAAATATCCACATAATCTATCATATCATTTCTCTCTATTATCATTAACACCATTTTACTGGTGTAAAATAATTTGGTAAATTAAAACCCTTTTAGATGTAAGTCTATATATAAGTAGCATCCTGATATGCACTCCTTGATAGAAACATCTTAAGATATGAAATAACAGATAGAAATCTCCTCAGATATTAGATCCCTGATAGAAACATCCTCAGATAAGAGATCCCTAATAGAAACATCCTCAGATATGAAATCAATAATAGATACATCCTCAGATATGAAATCACTGATAAAAATGTCCTCACATAGTAGATACTTCATAGAAACATCCTCATATATTAGATACCTGATGGAAACATCCTCAGATAAGAGACCCCTCATAGAAACATCTTCAGATATCTACCCTCAGATATTCGATACCTGATAGAAACATCCTCAGATATGAAATGACTGATAGAAATGTCATCTCATAGTAGATACTTCATAGAAACATCCTCAGATATTAGATACCTGATGGAAACATCCTCAGATAAGAGCCCCCTCTTAGAAACATCCTCAGATATCTACCCTCAGATATTAGATACCTGATAGAAACATCCTCAGATATGAAATGACTGATAGAAATGTCCTCAGATATAAAATCAGTGATAGAAATGTCCTCAGATATTAGATACTCAGACCTGTTTACCCCCAAACTCTTAAAATCATACAATATCAACACAAAATCATTCAATACATTATCTTAATAGTAAGAAAATAAACATACAGTATATATAATGTATACACCTAAAAATCGTACACTGTACGACAAAATCGTAAGAGTGAACAGGTCTGGATACTTGATAGAAGAAACACCCTCAGATAAGCGCTCCCTGATAGAAACATCCTCAGATATGAAATCACTAATAGATACATCCTCAGATATGACATCACTGATAGAAATGTCCTCATATATGAAATCACTGATAGAAACATCCTCGGATATTAGATATCTGATGGAAACATCCTCTGATAAGAGACCCCTGATAGAAACATCCTCAGATATCTACCCTCAGATATTAGATACCTGATAGAAACATCCTCAGATATCTACCCTCAGATATTAGATACCTGATAGAAAAATCCTCAGATATCTACCCTCAGATATTAGATACCTGATAGAAACATCCTCAGATATCTACCCTCAGATATTAGATACCTGATAGAAACATCCTCAGATATCTACCCTCAGATATTAGATACCTGATAGAAACATCCTCAGATATCTACCCTCAGATATTAGATACCTGATAGAAACATCCTCAGATAAGAGATACCTAATAGAAACATCCTCAGATACGAGATTCCTAATAGAACCATCTACAGATATTCTCTGAATTTGAAAATCGATATATCTGCACAAATCCGTCATAAAAAGACTGCCAGTTATTAATCTGTCGTAAACAAGACCGCACATTATTAATCTGTCAAACCAAAAAGGTTTCTGTCAATTAATTGACAAATTTGCAACTTAGACCAATTGCCTGACCTTGAATAGTGCAAGTTCCAAAGATTTCTCGAACTATACCACTGCGGTATCAGTGTACTTAATAACAAAAAGACCTATACGAAGCGTAAGATATAAAATGTTTAAAAATTCCACTCACTGCATACTCAATAGCTAACTTTGTATTGATATGGTTCAGCTTAGGCAATACCCAATAAAGAAGATAAACTATTAACTATTGGACCACATCAGCTTTCTCATATCAGAATATCCACCATTAAGCCCCCAAAAATTGTCACATACATATGAAAATGTCACTCCATTGAAATAAACCCCTACCTAAACGTCTAAATCTTTCCACAAAAACCTCATCGAAATCACAGTTCACAAATTAGGAACTGATGCCACACAAGAAGATCAAACTGAGATCAAACGGGTAACTATTCAGTATTTGGGGAGACCATTAATACTTATCATGGATACATACATGGATGAATGATTTTAAAACTAGAATCAGAATCCAAGTTCAGCTTGCTTCAAATCAACTGGCTCAAAATCACAGATAAGAAGCCAGCCAGTGGTGGTGGTGGGGGGGGGAAACTGTCAGCAGCTACCAGAAAGTCACTGCCAGTGCTGGAACTGTCAGGCCAAGTGCCAGCATCACCAGCAATGCTCCGCTTGTGTCTCAGCTTCATGTCATCAAAACTCCCCTTCTCTTAATCAACTCATCCAAAAAAACACTGCTTCACCCCCCCCCCCAACCACATAAATGCCATGTATTGACCCAAAGGGAGGTTACCAGGGTAATGTAAGAGTTATCTTTCTGCTGCTTGGCAACAGCCCTAACAAAGGGGAATAAACACAGGAAGGGTTGGGCTGAATAGAAACAAAAAGTGAACTAAAAAAATCAATTTAAAAAAAAAAAAAAGAGTTGGTTAAAACAAAGAATAAACTGTTGGAATGTGGGCAACATGGAATACTATGCTACAAATTAAACACTGATAGTAATGATACTTCAAAAGGTAACACTGATAGTAATGAGACTACAACAAAAGGTAACATGGATAGTAAAGAGACTAAAAAAGGTAACACTGATAGTAATTAGACTACAAAGAATACAATTCAACGTTTCAATTACAACTTACCTGTAGAAGGTGAGTAAAAATACAAACATACAAAGTGGGAAATCTAAGGATGATAATTTTATTGTGGCAACGAGAGTTTTATGGTACAGATAGGAAAAAAGGCAGCGTTTCACAATGTCAAGAGGGAGGGGAGGAGTAAGGTACCGATAGTGTTTTCCAGAGTTACGACAGAAAAGGGGGGAGGGGGTAAAAGGGTGAAAAATCAGAGGAATAAAGGGGTGGGGGGCGCGAAAATATTGACTTTTCCCGATAGGGATGTATTTACATTTCAATGGTTGGACGTTGCCTACCATCATGCACGCTCATTGTTTCACTTCATCAAAGTCTCTTTTCAAAGAGCTCTGCGATGATGCACTGCTCTACACAGAGACGAGACGGTGTCACAGAGAAATAGTTGATATCAATGGCTTGCTTGAAATATCAAGAAGAACCGTATAAACTCTACGGGACAATGAGGATGCTCTGGGGTCAAACAAGGGGTCAAATAAACATTGATTGTTTAACCAAAAAGTTTTTGCTGCCATTCTTTATTTCACCTTCGGTTAAAGCTGTTGATGATTTTTAAAAAATACATAAATGGATGGACTGGATAATGCCAACAGTTTGTATTTTGAGATTTAATTAACTAAAATGTACACCAAAAACCAAACACATTGCAGCAGACAGCAACCTAAAAGGATCACACAGAAATTTAATTAAATTAATGGAATTTTTTTCACATGGAAATGTAATTAAATTTATGGAATTTTTTTTTTTATATTAGCTGTGGGCATTGAAACTCACATTAAGTGAGAAATGCGTAAGGTGGACCATTTAGGTAAGGTGACGACCATTTCGGTAAGGTGACGACCATTTAGGTAAGGTGGACCATTTAGGTAATGTGACGACCTTTTAGGTAAAGTGATGACCATTTAGGTAAGGTGACAAAAAGTTATGATAAAATTAAATCCAGGACATTTAAAATCAGTTTGGCGACATGGGTGTAAAAAAAGTAAACAAATAATTGTTGTTGCATGGAGAACTTTTCTGGCTGTGAGACGCTCTTTTGAAATACAAATATTATGATGCTAATTTAAATGAATTGTAAATACGTTTTAATACTTTATACTAGAGACTGACCAAAAGTGATTTTCTGATTTCAGCCGAAGCCGAAAAAAGGGCGAAAGTTTAAAATGACTTTCGGCCGAAACCAAAAAATAGGCAGAAAGTTTAAAAATGACTTTTGGCCGAAACCGAAAAAAGGCAGAAAGTTAAAAATTACTTTTTTTTTTTAATGACTTTCAGCCGAAACCGAAATTAAGCAGAAAGTTAACTTTCAGTTTCGGCCGAAACCGAAACTTGGCCGTCAGAGATAAAATGGCCACTTTTGGCGCCAAAACCGAAATTCAGTCGGTCTCTAATTTACACCTGATTATAAGATGTACTCGATCTCTTGTTAAATTAATCATTTTTTTTATCTTGTGGTCTTTAACTCCACTGGTTACAACTCATGACTAACCAACACCAATGTCAGAAAACCAGTATGAATGGTCACCTTAGGGGTGGGTCGAAAAAGATACTCCAGTATTTCCCTAAGGTCAGAGAGTTGAGTGAAAAAAATCAAGAACAAAATAATGAGTTATACAAAGGCATATTAATTTGTTGGCTAAGGAAAGTAATTCTTTTACATGATTTTATTTTCTCTTGGTATGGACAGAATATACCCAGGACCTCATCCCAATGCAGTTTTAGAAATCAATATATTCATAATTAAACAAATAAAAATCCATAATAAAAATTTTAAAAGACATATAAATAAGCTTTAAGTTACCTATGTGTCAATGTGATAGGGGAGATAACAAACGTACCTACATGTCCTACATGGATCAAAAGCTACACAGGCTTAATTAGGAGAAGTTAAAAAATCGGACTAGAGCAACCCCCACACTAGTTACTTTAAGTTACAATTTTTTGAGAGAAGAAGTAACAAGAGCAATCAACAGAGCTATAGCTGCCTGAGCTCAAGCTACCTGAAGCGACAACTATTTGAGTGGGAAAAACACAATTATGTGAGAGAAAAAGTAACAGTTATAACAAGAGCCATCAATAGAGCTCTGGCTGCCTGAGCTCAAGTTACCTGATGTGACAATTATTTGTGTGGGGAAACAAAGCTCATCTCACTCTCCTATTCAGAGAAAAAAAGATGTGCATCAATATAAATTCAATTAAAAAAAACTCAAGACAAGAAATAAGCTTCCTATAGATGAGCCAAAGTTGTGGAACTGATACATCTAAGCTTGCTGCACAAAGGCATTTAGTGCCTTCAGACCACGGGCTGGTGCAACTCCACTATTGATAATCACCACTGGAGCCACATGACATTTTACATCAGGGAAAGACAGGAGGGGGGGGGGGATCTTTAAACTGCCTTCCAGAACATTATGAAAATAACTATCATTTACACTGCTACAAACAGGAACGAAAAAAAAAATCAATGTCCTTATGTGATAGCAGCTGTTTGTTTCTTACTTTGTCAATAACAATAGCAGTTTGTTTGTTACTTACTTTGTCCACAAACAAACTTTTCACAGAATCGTCCCGATCGCTACTAGCATAAAAAATAATCAAATCTTTTAAAAAAAGAGAGAGAATTAAAAATTAAAGCCCAATAAAAAAAATATTAAATCTGGGCTCTGCTGGATAGATATTTCGGCTGTGTACCAGTTCCAAGTAATGGTCAGTATCTAATTTTTACCAATTCCAAGTAATGGTCAATATTTAGCATTTACCATATTTGCTACTGATATTTTTTTAAAATCTAAGTATACCGGTAAGTATAATCTGGTATAAATTTGAGTATAAAGTAGTAATGTCAAAGAGTTAACTTTAGGTTCTGGATGTACTACCTAAAGTCAAAGAGTAAACTTTTTAGGGGCCAGGAAATGCAAAAACCCGGGAGATGGAAAAACCCATTGCTTATTTGTTAGAGATACCGGTATTATATAAAATTTAATTAAAATTAAAAGGAATTCTTAGTTAAATGGGAGTGCTATCTCTCTTACATTTACCAAATTAGCTCTGTCCAAGTTTAATATAACATGTCTCAAATTATTTTTATTTTGAACCCAGGTGAGAAAATTAAGAAACACTAAAATTAGCTGCACATTGGCGACTATTTTGATATGGTACAAGAAGGCTGAGCGAAATTGGGATTTACTTTATTTTATTTGGATAAAAATCACAGATTGGGAGATAAATCCATTTTTATGGCTGAACCAGTTTGTGAAGTTTAGGAGGGGCTTATGCACAGCTTAAATGGCTATGTGCACAAGCAAAAGTTTACAAAAATTGTAACAAGAGTTTTTGCTCCATACAAAATTTGTTTATCCCTATGCTTCAAGGTGGAAGATGTTAAAAAATTTCCAGATTGCATTATCTATGTTGTGTTTGTATAAGATAAAAATATGAAATTGTGTTTCTGCAATGAGACTTCAACCAGGCATTAAACAACTGCTATAACTTAAAAACTCCAAAAGTCACTTTGGTGTAATAAACCAGGGAAGATTTAACCAGGCATTGAACAAATGCAACAACCCGGAAGGTTGCTTTGGTGGTAATAAACAAGGTAAGAGGTTATAAATCTAAGACTCTTGCAAAACATGTATGTGACTCTAAAACGCTGATGAGTCAATATATCAAACTAATCTGTGTTTTATCAATTTTGTTAAAATTAAATGCTGTATTCCTTTTTTAAAAAAATTAAATATATGTTATAATTTTATATTCCATTGTGGAATGAAGGGGTTGGGCAAGAAGACACAACAGAAAATTTTATCAAGCGGGTGCTCAGTATGAAGTTATGGCCCAAATTGGGTGGTGGCCTCAAAAGGTTTGAGAAACATTCTTTCAGCTCAATGATATTTGGTAATAGATCAAGCACTTATGTTCTTTACTCAGAATTAATGCCATTCATTTTAAAATGACTATGAACATTTCAAACCCTTAAAATTAAAATGACTTATAAATTAAAATTTAAAAATGTCTCGATTGTTTATTTCCTACGTGTTCAACCACTCATTTTCTAACTCTCCATAAGCTATAAGTACTTCAATGAGTAAAATTGTTTAATTTACATTTTTCAAAAGCCTAAATCATAATATACAATTTCCCATTTCCTTAAAATATCTTGCAATTAAAATGCAATTTATATATATTTTAAAAAAAAACTCTAAAACTAACAATGCTAAAAAATAGGCCTATTCCAACTGCAATGCTCCTCTAGAATTTTTCAGGAACAGAGCGCCAAAAATTTGTTTTAAGCAATATTTTGAAAAGATGAAATAAAAATGTGCATGGAATGACAAGTATGACATAAAGTAAAATATGCAAAATGAGTTAGCTATTCTATTTAGAAATGGTTAACTACAATGTATAGATACAATAATACAGACTACAGCAGGAGTGCCTAGCCCAAATGGCTTCACAGCCCAGTTGATCGCAAGTCAACTCGTTGCGGGCTGAGGGTCATAAATATCTATCAAAGAAAATAAACACTAAATAAACACTTCTACATGTGCTGCCACACACATACACAAAAATTGTATAACGTCATTTGTCACTTTGACCGTCGGGGTGGGGTGTGGAAGAAGAGATTTAGGACACCGAAAAAATTGTTCTAGAATGAAACTATGGGGAGGGGACTAGGTAGAGGGCTAGCCCCCCTCCCCAATATGATACTGGGGGCTGTGTTTGGCTCATTTCTGTAACGAACCGTGAATGGGGGCTTTTGGTATGTTTTGAGATTAGCTGTTCCAATGGATAATTTTCTAAAAATAAATAACTTTCAGAATTGAACTATATTTACTGAAGAATTCTGGTCATGAGGGTTACAAATACTATGTCACCTAACCTACCTCAGATGAACAGTTGGAACACAAACTTTGGGTAAGTGGAAACTCATTTCGTTTTTTGTTTGCACAGAGCATAGAGAATTAAGACTTAACACAGAGCAAGCTTATCCATTTGAAAATTGAAACATTTATTTTAAATATTACTGACTATTTCTAGAATCTATGATCCCGAAAATGACATGATCACCACATGTATTCAGAAAAACGGCGACCATCTTTACAAAAAATGTTTTTTTACTGGAGGGAGGTGAAATTATGTGGAAATTAACAGTTTAAAATAAACATTTCTAAATCATTGAAACATCTTATCAAACAAATATTTTTTTATTATAATATGACTAAACTATATACAATGGTAAAGACAAAAAGAATAATTTGTTTTAAATTAATTGCTTTTACAATTATTCTTTTTAAATTAGGAATTTGATCAATTTTCCAATTGGAATGCCTCTTCTTAAACTGATTATAAGACACAACTAATAAGTGGTATTGGTAGTTAAGCAATGTATTTATTAGTTAATATTTGGTAAACTAAGACTACTATTTATTAATGTGTATCGATTGACCCATATAAATACTATTATTAAATTAGATTTTAACACTAAGGACATGTCTTCAATTTGCTTAAATTAAATGCAATCAACCTTTTTGTACATTATTACCTGTTATCCATCCTGATAAATCTCCCACTAATCTTTATTCCCTTGTTTTCAAGACAATAACAATTGCTAAAGTTGATATTAAAAAAACACAAAAAGACATAGATCATGATGAAATAACATTGTCACCTTTCATTTCTGATGCTATTATTTTTATTTAATTGTATTATTGATTGATCATCTAGAGATAAAACTGTCACATTTCATTTTTGATTTTCTTATGGGAGCTTTTCTTTTTTATTTAATCGCATTATTATTTGAAATTTATTTCAATTTTCTATTCAATATTTTTAAACTTTATTTTTTTTAAACATTTTTTAATTTCAGTTGGACAAGGACACCATCTGTTGCTGTGGATAGCTATATTACATTGGATGTATTATTATTGATATTTAAGTTTTGTATTTAAATGTACAACAGTGTCGGCAGAGATGGAGTTTCACTACATAACTTTGTTATAAAATATTCTGTGTTATATATGTTGTATTTGAAAACTCTATTAATTTGAGGTTGTCACAGTCTAAATGTACTGTAAATTTCATTGAATTAGCATTATTAGTTTAAAATTTATGTTTAAGATGTACATTAGTGTCGACAGAATTTGCTTCTCATTGCATAACATTTTTTTAAAATTTAAAATTGAGAATGTTTTGAATTTCCTTCGTTATATTTCAATAGTTTATTACCTTTCAATAGTCAGTATCTGTTTGAAATGAAAACTTCACCATACTAGCTTTATTAGTTTAAAAGTTATGTCTATAAATATAAAAATTTATTGACTGTGGTCGCTTTTTATAAAATATTTTTTTCCAATATTGCATGAATTTTCTAATCTGCATTAGTATTTACTGATTGCCTTACTTTCATATGCACATTATCTGTTTTTACTTAAAATTTTATAGTAATAGCTTTTTGGGTTTAGTAGTTATGGCATTTTAAAAAAATCATTTTTTTAAATGAAATATAATAAATTAATTCACAATTCATGTATTTTGTTTTGTTAAACAGTGTATTGTAAATGTCTCATTCAAATTTGAGCGCTCTAACTTTAATAGCCAAGAAGATACAAACAAAATAATTCAAGAAGAGTAATAAATCTTATCACAATTTTAGAATTACCGGTAACAACAAAGCTAAATAGTGAGGAAAAATAAATCACTTAAGCACTTTTCTTCTATCAATGATAGAAATAATATCTTTGTATCAATGGAAAGCTCCCAGCCAGCTCTTTCCTATAAATATACTTTTTATGTATGTCGGATGTATTTGAAAATATGAGTGTCTGGTTGGCCTGTTGGGCAAGTGGCAACTGGTTAGAGTGACAGACTCACCATTAGACTGACAGTATCTATTGCTATTGGTGTAATAATTTAATTGTTTTTTAAAAAGTAAATACCCCCGTTAATAGTAAAAAACTTCAGGCAAAATATTTTTTCTTTATTAAATTTACTGTGCATCACTATTTCTGCATGCCAACAGCACAGAGCTGGGCTAAGCGGGAAGCTTAAAGGGAACCCGTTAATCTGTCTGTTAAATTCAAACAAGGAAAATCTCACTCAGCATGGTTTGCAATTTGGAAACAACGGGCAGTTAATTGATACACTTTACACAGAAACATGTCGAAACTACATACTTCGCTAAAGCAAGGGAGACCACTAAAAATGTGTATGGGAAATGGGCATTGGTGCAGGAGAATCCAAGTTTTCAATTTTTGGACTTTTGTGCTTTTGCATTATTGGAAGGACTATTTTGTCATAAAATTGTGTTTTTCTTCCACATGTTCACCATGGGGAAATCTTGACCTACATTCCAACATACTGTTTTACCTTTTTTGATCAAACTTAATTGAGCTTAACAGATTCTGGATGCCAGAAAGGCTCATAGCAACCAGTGGCATATCGGGGGGGGGGGGGAGGTTTGTGCATGATTTTTAATATTCCTTTGTTCATCATTTTGTTATAAACTATTGTGAATATTTTGCAGACCCATGAATAGTTTTTAACAAATTTCCATTTTCAAGAAACATATAATATTGATGACATGTAGATCAATGTTACACTATAAAATTAAAATATCTCTCAGAGTGTTTACTTTCAGCTGCGATTTCTCAGGCATCCAAACATCGTTTACCTAAGAGAAAGCTGCTCCACAGGAAGGCTTAATGAAAACTCGAACGGTAATTTCAAATTTCCAGAAGTTACATCATTTGGATTGAAAGGTTTAAATTTTTGCCCCCATTTTTAATCTACAGAAATGTTTTGCGAGTTCCATTTTTCCAGCCTAGCATGTGACAAAAATTGTTTCACATAAGTTAGCTCACCAAAGACAACCCTAACAACAATTTTCACTGGGAAGAATTTATTTACACAAGTGACACTCCTTTTTACGTTGTCCCAGGAAGGGAATACTTTCAAAGTCACCCAAGAAAATATTTCAAAATCTTTAAAGTGAACAGACCAACGCTGCAGATATGTTAAACATGTACTACAGAATGCTAAAATTTATTTGTTCTATCTCTTCCAAATCTCTCAACTTACTCCGATTAATGAGTCAAACAAAACTTTCCTGACACTTAGCAGGAGACTCTTCAATTACTCATCTACCTCAAAAGATATTGCAGTCTGACTTTCAATCTCTTTGACATTTGCAAGATGCAAGAAAAATATTAGTTTGGTTGTGTAGGAAATACAACCAGATCTCTGCAGTTTGGTTTTCAAAAGAACTGTTTCAGCAGTACACACTAGTGATCCAAATTCCTATCAAAGTTTCTAAGACAGTAGCTGTTGAGACCCGCTGGTCCTCACCTTTGTGAGACCCACTGGCTCACACTCTCTCTCCATCGCTACCCCACGCGATATGACACAATTAGGCTGGGCCTTACAATAATAACAATTTCTCAAATAACAATGGAAATTAGCCTGATAACCTTGACTGGGACCCAGCTTAAAACAATGCACTCATTCTGCTTAAGAGTTACCACGCTGAGTTAACTGAGTACTGAAACGACGCATGTGAGTCGTGAGTCATGTGAACGCGGCGCTTGAATGCGACGTTTGAATGAGGGACAAGGACGCCAAACTTTGAGTATATATTAAAGGCCCTAATCATGTATCGGCCTTTTTCACCTGAAGTCTGTCAGTAGAGCCTGGCTGGCATAATTAGTTGATGAAGTGTGTTTATCCTGATTGTGTTGGGCTAGTAATGTTAACTTTCATATTCATGTGTACGGGTATGTAGAATTGTAGTTGCAGTTATTAAGAAAATGTTAGGACTATAGTCACTTTTAGAGTATGATTAATTATTAATAATGTGATGTGATTTTAATTGTTGACCTATGTCTTATGCATTGTATTTGTCATTCTCATTCCAAGCCAGAGAGTAATAGTAGAGAAAGTAATATTTGGATTAGTAAGTAATATTAGGATCATTAATTGATAATTGAACTAGTGAGTAATATTTCAGTAAGAACAGTAACGTAATTAACAGTTGAGCTAGTACAGTTCAGTTAGTAGGGTCAGACGTTAGGGTCAGAATAACGTTGACCTCCAATTAAAAGAACTAAGTGTAGGTTAGGCCTACTACAAGAATAGCAGAGACTCGACCAGAGACCTGTTATGTCATAGTGATCAGTGAGGGAAGAAAAATCAAACAAGACTCTAGCATGTACTGTGTGTGTGTAACCCTCGGTGAAGTGTCAAGGTCGACACCTACCTCCTAGCAGTGCGCTGTGACCCGAGGAGACGGCTGCGGAGTGTGTGCATGTGGGACTTGCCTATAGGACAAGATCGCCAGTTGGAGCATAGTATTTAATAATATTGGGCAGTATATCTTGTTATCCTGTATATGTGTATAGTATATGTAGTGTGTATGTTGATAATTCTTTGTGGTAATGAAATATTTATTTGTGGGCTGAACCACCTTTGTTTTTCTTATTATGTTGATAGTATTAATAGAAGTGAGAGCTAGTGAGAGTGACATTGAACGTTGGAGTGAGTGTGTAGTGAGATTAATTTAGAGTACTTAATTAGTAATATAATCATACCCTAGACAGAGCCTTGTGGACGTACTAATATAACGTATCAGAAGGGACCTTTGTTTATACAAACAAACATCGAATATTATTCGTAGTCGAAGTTGTAACATTTGGGGGCAAGATTTAACATTGGGGGCTCTAATATTCGTTTACTGTAAAACCCCGAAAACAAATATTTTAACAATGTCTTATCACTTATTAACTTATTACGAATATTACCAATATTTTCAAAGTATCAAAGTCAAAGGCCGGCACAACTTGTTGAAACACTTAATAATCTGAATATAACATATATTTAAATTGTTTAAATTGCTACAAAATATTTAAAAACTTCTCATGAAACTACTGTTGCAAATGAACATGATAATTTAAATATAAATTCTTAAAATTAAAATGGGAAGAAAAAAAAACCTCAATCCTCTACTGAGCTACTCAAATTATAATATCGCCAGGCGTCCACTCTACTACTTGACCACACAAGATCGTTTCTAACAGGCATATCTTAAAACCAGGCAAATGGTACATTTTTTCCGGTGGTGTACCCAGGCCAAATCCCACGATTTCGCTAGGTGCACCACCGCGGTTTACACACGCCAAAGCCAATGGTTTCGCTAGGTACACCGCTGCGGTGTAAACATCCACTTCAAATAAGTAGACTAGCTTAACTAGAAGTTGGGAGTATTAGTTTTTCTTGGCCTACAATACATTACATTGGCGTACCCCAAAAAATGCCATGTTAAATAAACTCATAAACTTTGCCGGATCATTGCCAACAAAGTTCTAAATACTAAATTTACCTTTGAAAAACCTTAGCGCGATTTTATAAACTTCCTCTAGAGGAAAGCCCCATTTTTCTTTGTGCTTTTCACTAAGCGATGTTGCTGCAATATTGTGAGAGTTCTCATTATCATTCACATTCAAATTTTCAACTTCGTTTACAATGTTTTCAGAAGAGGCAGTCGCCATCTTGTTTACGGTATTCCACGTATATCCCCACACTAAGAGTTGTAATCTCTAGTAGCCCTTTACATCTGATAAAAAACCGAGAAATAGTAAAATAAATAAGAAACAGCCACTTTAACAAGCACTTGAATTGCATTTTGCATGATTTTTGAAAGGTTTAAAGCATTTATTACAATATTCGAAACTATAATTTACACTATTACTAATATTGACCAAATCCAATCCATGTATTTTTCTTTTCATAATTATTTGGAAAAAAAAACAAGAGATGAAATAAAAACAAAAAAAATATGTAGTTATTTTCTTCTTTTCAGTTAGACTCATAGGCACCTGCAGAAAACTTTCTAGGGGGGGCGGGGCAAAAAAATCGATTTACTTTCCAGGGGGGGGGGGCAAAAATTTTTAGTAATGTTTTAATATAGTTTTAATTTACTACAGCGTACAGTTACAGCGTACTTATATGGTGAACGAACGAACAGGACATCAGCTTAGTTACTTTTTCTTTATTTTCTCTTTACTTTAATAAATTTTTTGTCAATTTTTTTTCTAAAAATTTTTTATCCAATCAATCCAGGGTGGGGGCAAGTGCCCCATCTTGCCCCTACCTTCGGGCGCCCATGGTTAGACTCTATATAACCAAACGAATTTTAAACATCTTGCTTGACATTTTGTTTTATCGTTATCGACTAAGACATATAAGAAATTACCTGGTAATAAGGGGGAGAGACTGCAATCAGGTTAGGTAAAAGGAAATGGGCGAAAAAAAGTATGTACAAAACCTGAAAAGAAGGACGCAACAAAATAGGCCTAACGAACGTGTCGGCAAGATGCCTCCTTCAGCAAACAAACAGTAAAAACAAAATGAGATCAAAATAACACTTAGCTGCAATGTGGTATCAGAGAGGACAGAAAGAGGAATGTTTAAGAAGTTGCATGTTGAATAACATAATAGAACATGGCCGTCCTCTTCTGCTGGGGGGGGGGATCACAAATAGGATTTGGGGGGGGGGGATAAGAGCATCGGATAGGGCAGCTGATGCTATTTCTTGTGAATTATATTGGGGTGTAACCTACATAAGGAACATAGTGATGTAGGCTAAATGAGGAAGTGTCATTTCAAGACCCTGGGGAATAAAATTGTAGGAGCTCACCCACCCACCCCGTCCCCTCACCCGAGGTATACATTCATTGCTTAGTAAATACAGGGCAACATAAGAAAAAAAAAACACAGGAGTGTCGTTTCAATGCGCCCCTAGAGGCCCCGAGCCCTTATATAAGGAATACAGGCATGGCTATGATGCGGAACATGGCTCGCCTATTGTCATGATGAACGTGGTGATCAGTGGCATAGGAAGGAGCGAGGCATTTTTCAGTGGACAGAAAGATCATGGTGAATAGCATAAGCATCGTGATTATGTACAGGAGGGGCATATAGGCAGGGGCATGATTTGGGTAGGGCAGGGTGGGGCATTTGCGCCCCCCCCCCC